ACAAGCATGGATAACGAGACCTACATAGAAAGGGTCAATTTCGTGACAGCGTGATTCTTATGTAACATCAGCCACCCACATAAGCGTGATCCTTAAGAACGCCCACATGAGCGTGAGTCTCAAAAACACCCACATGAGCATGATTCCCGAGAACACCACACGAGCGTGCCTCTCGTGTAAACATCAGCCGCCCACACGGGTTTGGTAGAGATATGTGGAGCTGCGTAGACAGTCCGAGTCAGTGAGCTAAAGCACTGGGGAAGTGTGGGTGTAGTACACACCCAGCACAAGAGTGCTGCGAGTCAGTCAGAGTCCAAGAGTCAGAGCGAGAGAGACCAAGTCAGGATCAGAGATTATCTCTCTAGAGTACCGTACAACTATCAGGCATAGGTCTGAGTAAAGGTTGAGGTTGCGGTACTGGTCGAAGGTATAGTCCCGCTGACGAAGTAAGACCGAGGGGACGAAGTAAGCCCGAGGGGAAGGGAGGCTCCAATAGTACCTGTTCCGGGTGACGACGCGAGGATACGTAGGGTCACTACAGAAACAAAATTGGAGGGGGGGGGGGGTTGCTGACGAGAGCTGTGTGCTACAGGGGACTTGTGTTAGAAGTCCTGTCGGTCATCAGAGTAATTCGACAGGCTGACGTGCTGTTTGCTTTTGGAGACCGGCAAAGGAAGTCCGTCTCCAGTCAGGCGTGGTTGTCTGCTGAAACAATATCAAGGTCCAGTGGATTGAAGAATTCGTCCTTTTCAGACGTACGGCGAGCAACTCAGATAGCACGCAACACTAGTCTGTGATGGTCAGCTGTCCTGTTTCTTGAAGCCTCCGCAGGTGGCTACTCGTTCTCGGGTAGACTTTGGCCATGAAGTCCAGTCTTGTGCAGTGGCCTCCCAGGTGTCAGGGTCTGTTTTAGAAAGGCTTTGAGAAGTGACGCCTTCAGCTGCTGTAGAGCAAAAGGCCTCTTTGTGGGAGATAGCGTTCAAAACATCGGTAAAGTGACCGACCTTTTCAAGAGGGGAAAACCCTAACCTAAGTTCGTGGTGTCTGCACTAGCTATGTGACTGTAAAAACCACCAATCCCTTTACAGAGTTCTAAAAACGAACACTGTCTTTATAGTAAACAGTTTTGATGCAATGGCCATATGATGATTGTTTCCCGCACTTTTACCGGTAACCATTTTATGCTGGGTGGGCACAGGCGCCAGTCCCAGAGAGGCTTCGAATCCATGTCCTTCACATGGGTAGGCACGAGTTTAGTCACAAATGTGGTCCCCTTGTTTGTCCAATGCCTATATGTGATAATTTGCTATGGCTGAATTAAAATACAATATATTCAGTTATGAGGGCTATCCTCCAAATAACGGGCACAAAAGATGGCGGCCGCAAAAACCACCCTAACAGAGCCTCAGTCACGTGTCAATTGCGCACTTCCAGCGACTTAATTTGCAGTTTTCCGGCGACTACCGCCACTGCCAAGAGTATCCCCCACGCCACTCACGCGGTGTGGATTGGGGCTAAACTAGATGGCTAGGAATCACGAGCAAATAAAATGAAGGAAGCTACAGGAGATGCGGTAGCTGCTGCTCGTGAGTCCCAGCCATCTAGTGTAGCCCCATCCACGCCGCGTGAGTGGCCTGGGGGATACTTTCGGCGGTGGCGGAAGCTGCCGGAAGTGCGCAAATTAAGACTCGATAATTTAGGACCCTTATTCGGAGGATAGCCTAGTTCTGATTTGGTTAAAATATTCCTGATTTCAGTTTGGAGTGCAGTTTATTTTTGGTTGTTCTAAACTAATTTATATTCTTGTAATTTTTTTTTTGTTTTGTTCAGAGTTGTTTTGTTTCACATAGAGGGTCTTTTTGGGGTTTCTGAAAATATTTTTAGCTGGGTATGTGGTAAACAAAATAAAAGTGTTTTTGTCAAACTGTGATAAGAGTGATTTCTCAACGCAATCTCTGGTGAAAAATGATGTAGTATATTTTTGCTTATTCGCTAAACCAAAAATACGCGTGTGAGACGGAAAGTTTTTTTTGCACTATCATGATGTGTAGTGCTGATAAGCATAAGCTGTCATGTGTCAACAGTTCACATGATCATCAGAATCATGGATCAGGTCAGTGTTCTTGTTGAACCCCATTCCATATGGCCAAGCCATCCAGGTATTAATCTGTTTGCCTTAATTAACTGTGTAAACACCAACATAATACATTCAATAATAACTTTGTTCAACATCAAATTTATCAACAATGAAAAGGATAATCAATATAACCCTTGACCTGTAAAGCTACACTAATCTAAAAGTACACTATAATGATAAAAACATGTCAACATAGAAAAATGCATGAGTAAATCGTACTTGTAATACAATTATGTACTATTTCAAAATTACTTCATTAGAAAATCATGGATTATGAGATCAAAGTTACAGTACAATTCTAAGAATACTGTAGATCTGAAGGATGAAAATATTAGTTTGATCCAGTAGGTAAATAAGGAATGAAAGAAACATCACACACACTTGAAATGAAATTCAAAATGATGTCAAACGGTACACAATAATATCACTAACATTTCTCAAGTGTAAATAGACAATTAGGCAGCAGTAATTCACTCCAAACTTTCACATATAAAAACTCCCACTATCATATGGAAAAGATGGACATTCCCATAAAAAAATATTCAATTTCACATACAAAAATGAGCACTTTTACAGTCATTTTTTTTGCATTTAGTAACTGAATATAAAAATGTTCACTTTCACATAGAAAAAAAAATACATTTTAACTTATAAAAATGCACACTTCTAAATATGAAAATGCAATTTTCACGTATGAAAATATTTTCACATAAGAAAATGCATTCTCATACATATTAAAAATACACACATCCACACAGAAAAATGCAATCTTAAAAATAAAGATGCACACTTTCATATATGAAAACACCACATACGCTGAGGTAAACTACACCAGTAAATGCCAATTTAATACTTTTTCCGGAACGATACACAACTGTAACAAATTACGCCGTAATGAATGTCAATGCTTTCAAATATCTAATCTTGGTAATAGTGGGAATACAAAGAGATGTAAGCAACTGCAGCATTCTAAAAGTTGTGTATATTAATACTACTTTTTGTCCCAGCGATGTAACGGCTGCGCCTGTTTACAGCACCGCTGAGATATTTGTGCCTCTGGTGATACATCCAACTTCATTAAGCATTTATTGACCAAGTGAACTTCACGGAAGATAGTGTATACAAAATGTATAAATGAAGGTGAGAAGTGCAGCCCCTGTTTGCAGCAAAGCTGTGATATCTGCATCTTAGGGCTGAAACATCGGCGACATTTGCGCCTTTTGGCCGACACCAACTTTGTCGAGCATATGTTAACAGGGTTAACTTCACGGAAGATAGTGTTTACAACTTTTTTAATTGAAGGTGAGAAGAGCTGCATCTGTTAACAGCAAAGATGCAATATTTGCGCCTTTTGGCCAACACCCACTTCGTCGAGCATGTGCTGACCAGGGTAACTTTGTGGACGTTAGTGTATACCACATTTGTAAATGAAGGTGGGAAGATTTCTTGAGTTGTTCATGACCCCATTGGGGGTCGGAGGAGATCCACAGTCCCTTAAGAAGTATATCGTAAAAGATGACTAAATAAGGATTTGCTGAAACACTTTTTCAATCAAAATTGCTCTTATTTGTTTCTGCACAATCTACTAATCAGGAACAAGACTTCAAACAACCTGGTGTCAGTTGGAGAAATGGAAAAAATGAGTGTCTTTTTTCAGAAGGCAGTGATGAAAGAAACATTATTCAATGGATTTGCTTTGTGATAATTATGACCAGCAGAGTAAAAATCAGAATGGTAAATCCAGTGTAAGCATAGACAAGCTGCAGTGACAGCCTCTATCTCCATTCTCATACTGCAGTCACAGCCTCTTATCTCCATTCTCATACTGGAAGAATCCATTACATAAACGCAGCTGTATATTGCTATCCATATAGGACAGAGATATCTTGGTTCTCTTGTACATTTTGGTGTTCAAGTAGACTATAAACAGCAAGAGTGTGTCCACTTGTGTACTTCATACAGGTGAAATTCTAATATACCTTCAGTCCACTGTTTGTCCAGTCAGCCTCTCTTCAGATTTTCAGTTGATCAATACTTCGCTGCTTAATGTAATATATTGTATGTTGACAGTTCAGTGGCCAAAATTTTTTATGTCTTAACTAAACCTAGCACTGCTACAACCTTTAATTTCTTCAAGATTTAATCTTTTTTTTTTCTTCTTGATGTATTGAAAGCTCTTCTTAAGAATTTTCTCATAATTATAAGCTTATATAAAGTTTACATTTTGTTTGTTTTTCTTTTGGTTGGCTTCAGTATATTATTCTTCTTCTTCTTCAGCATTCCAAGCCCTTGAGTATAGGCTGATGTTAAAACTATCAGATGGGATACAGCAAAATAGGAAAGCAATAGGCCCTTTTTATATCAACGGTGTATCGATCATATGTTAGACATTCTGATAGACCAATGAGCACTCGGTGGATGATGTGGTCAACATCACGTCTGCCACTTTTACTTCCCAGGACATTACCTGGTACCATATTGGACATGTCTCCCCTAGATGCCAAGAACAACATTTTTTTTGGGGGGGGGGGGGGGGGGGGGAGGGGTGTCAGCCTAACAGCAGATCTGAACCCAGGACATTCAGGCTGGCAGACAGGCTTCTAGCTACGCCATGCAGCTCACACAGCAAAATATGCCTGGTAATAAAGTGTAGATTGTTCCTGCATCACAATGGGAAAACACTGCTTTGAATACTAAATTACATGGGGGAAAAAAAAAAAAAAGGATTTAACAAACGAAACAAGATAATTTAATCTTAAATCACAACAGAGAACCCTTATACACAAAAGAGCTACCAGTATTGCCAGGTAATTTCATTATACACAGCTAAATCTCTATTATAACATTTTCAACAAGGCCAAATTTAAGAATATTTATTCAGGAACTTGATGTGGAAATCCCCGAAACGGTTGAGCATCTCTCCAATCTTCTCTACTGGAGGTAGGATTGTCGTCCTGTAACAAATGTGAATTATCAAAATCAAATGTTAAAACACATTTCCTGAGACCTGTTTATAAATCTTTATTTAAAACCAAGTTGTTTTAACTTTAGGAAACTTCATCACTACAAATACATAACACATTAGTGTCATGATACAAGATACACATGGATATTATGGATAGAATCCAGCCCAGCGCAGTTCCTCTTGCATTCACCACATTTTTAGGTTGTGTGGTCAGTGAAGTCTAGAGCCTGAGGATCTAAGGCACACACCAACAGAACCATGTTCCCTTCCCCCTCACATACCAACAGAACCAGGTTCCCTACCCCTCACACGCCAACAGAACCATGTTCCCCCCTCTCACACACCAACAGAAGCATGTTCTCTTCCCCCTCACATACCAACAGAACCAAGTTCCCTCCCCCTCACACACCAACAAAACCAAGTTCCCCCTCACACACCAACAGAACCAAGTTCCCTTCCCCCACACATACCAACAGAACCAAGTTCCCCCTCACACACCAACAGAACCAAGTTCCCCCTCACACACCAACAGAACCAAGTTCCCTCCCTCTCACACACCCAAAAAAAAAAAAAAAAAAAAAAAAAAAACCAAGTTCCTCCTCACACACCAACAGTCCCAATTCCCCCCCCCCCCCCCCAATAAAACAGTCCCAAGTTCCCCCTCATACACCAACAGTCCCAATCCCCCCCCCCCCCCAAACAACAGAACCAATTCCTCGAACACACCAAGAGACCACGTTTTTACATACCCCCTCCCCAAAAAAAGCCCAGTTCTGCCATACTTACCTAAAATGCCAAGTTCCTTCCTTCTGACCAAATCCGCTGCCAGGGACCACACAGATGCCTGTCTCCTCCAGCAAACTGTAGCAGTAAAATGCATCAGGAGCCAGACCCTTCGACTGAAACAATAACAACATTCAATCATTCATCAAACTGGCATATAAAGAGATTGATAGCACATGCTTCGTTGCAACCGAATCATATGAGAATCCCCAAGCAGGCCCTGAAACACATAAAACTGACTGAGGGAACAAGGACACTCGAGAGAAACCCTTCAACAATGAAGAGAGGTCAAAGGGTTGTTGGGTTGGAGTTCCATCCACCATGATAGTAAAAACCTGCACAGGGCACAAAGGAATGGAAGAATAGACTGCAAGGCTATGTGACATATAATCAGGATGATGACAAACTTCAACTGGGAAGTAATTCCCCCCCCCCCCCCCACAATGTGTGGGTTCTTGTGACCTATTGGAGGGGGGGGGGGGGGGGGGGGGGGCACACATCAGATCCACTGACACTTAACCAGAATGTCCTAAAAAGCGACTACTTCAGGAGTATCTGAAACTGGATGTCAGGTCGAAAGGCACCTTACTGTAGGGTAGACAAATAAAACAGCCTTTTAGGGGGTGGACCAATGAACGAGGTGGAAAGTAAAAAATTAAATTATTTTATTCTTTCTACTTTACAAAGGCAACAATTAATGAATGTCTGTTGTCTGTGTTTCAATCCATGCTTTTTTTCAAAATTGAAGTACTGATTTGACATCAGTTAAATATTCTAAGTCTGGTCATCATTAGCATCATGTTCCCTGCATAGTGGCGTAAGCGCTCGGGCCTCTCCACAGATCTCGCCAACCCCCCCTCCCCCCCCCCAAGAACAGTGCTTGTATTTTCCTTATAGCTGTACATATTGATCTTTTTCATCATAAGCTTCTTTTAAGCAAACTCTTTAGTTACTCTGGCAGCCCAAGGGATTCTTAACATTATGGACATACCTCATAATTCTTCTGTGTTCATCCGTAAAATGACACTCGACTACAATTGCACTGGTGTTGTCCATTTGTCAGCTTCGAGTGTAGTATTTAGCCCAACAATCACATTGTCAGTACATTCCCAATGTAGCGTGATATTTTAGGACAACGTTTGTTAACAGTCAGTGTGATTCTACTAACTTCCAGAGCTCCAATAATGGGAAGCCAGATTCCCTGGTAATAACACAAGCACGCCATTCTCTATAGGCAATAATGATCTGTCTGTGCCTCGAGCGACACTGTACTTCACTCTACTCCCAAACGCCCTCATCCTCACATCTAGCTTGTCATACATAATCACCATGCAAGTGTTTTTGGGATGTACATAACTGACCCCAGATAAGCTTGATCATACATAATCAACACTAAGTGGAAGGTGCAGAACTGGCCCTCAGATAAAGCTTGTCAAACACCCAATCACCACTAAAAGTGGTGCAGAAAGGGGAAACTCTGTGGCCCTGGGCATAAGCTGTTATTAGGCAAATGCAGCCACCACATCATACCTGGTGCAGAATGGATACTGGCCCCAGATAAGCTTGTCATACATAATCACACACCAACAGTGTTGCAGAGACTCCTGTTTGCCCCAGAGAGGTCAACGCTCTCATCGGTGAAAATTCATACATAAGATCACCACTACACAGTGGATCAGAACTGGCCCAAGATAAGCGCATGTCATACATAATCACCACCAAGTGGTGCAGAACTGTCAAAGAAGCCTAGTACCTTCTGGAGACTTACTTTAGCTTCTGCAGGTGATGGCTTTCTTGACGATATCGATTGCCTGGGAAAGGCAACACATGGCCCTTGTACTGGGTTACAATGAGTATGATCCGGAGGAGTCAGGCATAATCAAGTGCGAAGACAATGGCTTGAATCATTACAGAAGTCCACTGTGCGTGGAGTCCTTTTTTGTTCCGCGGACACGCATGTGTCGATGGAAAGTAAAGAGCTGACAGGTTTTTCTTAGGCTGGATCAGCTATCCCTTACCGACGGTTCGGCCTTGAGATCATGCTGATAATTATCAATGCCCTCAGAGGGGAACAAAGTATCCTTTGGTGTTCAGGGAATCCATATCACTCGCCAGAATGGCAGACTAGGGAATGTTAATCGGCACAGCAAAAAACGAGACCACACCGGACACGTCAGAAGACTGCGTTAGAACTAGAACTGGTACATGCCATGGAGGTTGGGGTTCATACTGAGGGCATAAATCTGAACCTATGGGACATTGTCCGGAGTGCAAGACGATAACCCAAACTAAAACTAACTAACTAAATAACTAAACTTCTGTGTTCATCCGAACTATGACACTTGCACACTGTGTTGTCGTTTAGAGCTTTTTTTTTTTTTTTTTTTTGTATCTAGAAACCATGAGTTGTAAAACACCTTTGGCTCGGTACTAAATCGAAACCCTAGGGCCTCAAACATTATAGGTTTTAATCTGGGAGAACTCTGACAAGCCAGGGAGGAACCGGACACAAGGATTCAGTCATCACCCGGCCCGCCGTTCAGTCAGGTTTAACCAACTTCGCTAAGAGCACGGGGTAATTTACAGCGCAGTGCGAGGTATTTAGCCCCAATACCACCAGTTTCAGTACATTCCCAATTAGCCACTTTTTAGGACATGTTTGTTAACAGTCAGTGGATCTACCCCCCTCAGCAATGGGATGCTTAATCCCCCTGGGACTCCTCACAACGCCAGTTAATGATCTTCTGTGCTCCGCACTGTTCAACCACTCCCAACCACATGTCCACAAAATTCATATAGCTTGTCATACATAATCACCACCAAGTGGTGCATAACTGACCCCAGATAAGCTTGTCATACATAATCACCACCAAGTGGTGCATAACTGACCCCAGATAAGCTTGTCATACATAATCACCACCAAGTGGTGCATAACTGACCCCAGATAAGCTTGTCATACATAATCACCACTAAGTGGTGCAGAACTGGCCCCAGATAAGCTTGTCATACATAATCACCACCAAGTGGTGCAGAACTGGCCCCAGATATTCTAGTACTATGGAGACTTACTTTAGCTTCTGCAATGGCTTTCTTGGGGATATCGATCCTGGGAAAGGCATACATGGCCCCTTGTACTGGGTTACAAGAGATTCCCTTGATGGAGTTGAACATATCGGTTGTCATCCTTCCTTTCTCTGCTAGCTGGCCCAGGACTGTGTCCTTTTGCTGTGAAAAACATCAACATGTGTATATCAAAGTAAGGTCAATTCAGTTCTTTCTCCTTAACACTGGCTGAAATCCATGAGAATGTTTGTTTTAATCACCCTCAGCGGGGAACAAATCCTAGAACTCAAGAATCATGAAAGTGTTAACTGCACTAACCTCTAAGCCATCAAGCCGCACCCACACTTTAAAACAAACTCGTAGAACTATACAGTACATGCTTCAGAGGTTTAGACCATTTCTAACTGGCATAAAGAAATCTAGCCAGAAAACATTTGGACAAATTATGAACTCTGAGTCCCAAGGAATGCATCATACGTTCATAGGTTCCTACCTAGAAGCCCAATGAACGCATGATGCGCCAATTTTACTTTCTTTAACTAAAGAGTTAAGGTTTGGGCCTGTGATGCTAAACCCCCTGGGACTCAAAGAGTTAAGGTTTGCATCTCCCTACAGTAGAGGAGGGGATTAAGGCGGGAACAGTGTTGGCTTTGTCGTCAATAAAAATATGATAAAAATTAATTGAGCAGACTTGCATCAATATACTTAAATGAAACCCCTTTTAATGCATACATACTACAGTCTACAATGACAATACTACTGAGATATTCTATAGGCAACATTAAAACATTGACAAACATCACTGATTAAAAAAAAAAATCCCTGATAAAATATCATTGACAAATACACCTGATAAAACATAACTGACACATCCCAGATAAAACATCACTGATAAAACATAAATGACAAACATCACTGATAAAACACCGACAAACATTCCTGATAAAAAACAATGCTGCCAAAATAACAAAGAAAGACAAACTGATAATCATGGCAGATTGGAAATGCAATGCAGTCAAATACTAGAAAAGAAATTACAAAGGTAACAAGGACAAGATAGAAACTTACATGTTTAAACAACTCGAAGGATGGTTCACCTGGTTTAGGTGGGTTCACAACCACATCCATGGCAGCCTGGAAAACACCAGATGTAATTCAACAACACAACACACGATGACCAGGAGCATATGTTAACCATCGTCATCGACCAGCAGGTCTTTAACAGAACCCTGCTCTAGCAGAACCCTGCTCTAGTCACAGCAGGCCTGAAAGTCTTTCTCTAGCCAATTTCCCAGCCTTATGTGCTTTCACAGCTGATGCTTCCTCACTGTCTTGTATCCACCTTCATAGAGGTCTGCTTTTTTAAATTTTAAACCGAAATAGGACATCACACCGAGCAATAAACACCCGGTGACACAAAGTGCCACCATTCGGATGAGGATCACCCGGAGGCAGGTGCCAAAAACCCTGCTCAACCATAGGTTGGGTTTATTTCCGAACACAATGCACAAATAAGGCAAGAATCCAGGCAAGAGTATGTGTCTAATTTTATACGAAAACGTCGCTGGAACTATGTCGACCACACCCTTAGAATGGATAAATCAAGACTTCCTTACCAAGCCCTCATTTGGACACCACAGGGGAAAAGATCTCGTGGAAGACCAAGGGAAACCCTACGTAGAACTATCATCAGGGAAGGCTCGCTCATGGGCCACTCAAACATCCAAGACCTACAACAGATTGCAACGAACCGCCATGCATGGAGAGTCATGACCTCTGCCCTATGTGCCGCACTCGACACAAGAGGAAAGACTAACTAACTAACTAACTAAAGCTTATATGTGTATATTCATTTTTAGACAGATTTTATGTTCAGCACTTTGCACAGAAGTGAATCATGAACAGTTAGTAAATTAGTGATAACTTATCCGGAAGTTGTGGAGATGTGGTTTTACAGATGAATGATCAGAATACCCTGGACAGATAAAATGAGTAACAAAGATGCCTTAAAAGAAACCGCCCACATCAGAAAGAGGCAATCCACATTCATTGGTCAAGTTATCAGAAGGATAAGACCAGAGTAGATCCTGACAGTCGGAAAGTTGGAGGGGAGGAGAGGCAGAGGGAGACAGAGAGAAAATATGTTGGACAGTTTGACATCATGGCATGGAGGATCATCTGTGTCGGAGTTGATTGAAAGTACATGAGACAGAAGGTTGTGGCTAGACATGACTGTCAATTACCACACAGCATGGTCTTTAAGTAGTACTAGTTTGCCATTGCTATCTGTGCAGATGAGACTCCATACTATTGTTGCTATCAAGACAAAGTGGTCTGCTTCAATATGCGTGCAGCTGAAACAAATTTGGTATTCTAGAATTATGAGTCCCACACACAACCCTTAAGCCACAGATCTGACCTCTTTAATCTACTACTCTGTTACCTGGCCAGTGACAGCAGAGCACAACTTGGCAGAAATGGCTTTGGTAAACATGGCCTTGACAGCTGGGTCTATATTGATTAGCTCTACATAGCCACCTCGGAAACCACACCTGGGAGGACAAGGAGAAGACTCTGTCATTCATCAGCATTAAAACAAACCAGAATTTGTAAAAATCCATCATCATCAAGTGCCATGCATTGACTGCGATGCTTCACCTTAGTGTCCAGAATCGGGACAGTGTTCTCATTCCATCCCCAGCCATATAGCTAAAACATCCAGGTATTTATTGCCTTTCCCTTACTCTCTTTCAAATCAATCTTACAATCTGTCACCATGTAGGCAACCTAGTGTAGCCCCACCAGAGGCAAAGACACCTTTAAACCACCAGAGGGAAAGACACCTTTAAACCATCAGAGGCAAAGACACCTTTAAACCACCAGAGGCAAAGACACCTTTAAACCACCAGAGGCAAAGACACCTTTAAACCACCAGAGGCAAAGACACTTTTGAACCATCAGAGGCAAAGTCACTTTTGAACCATCAGAGGCAAAGTCACCTTTAAACCACCAGAGGCAAAGACACCTTTAAACCATCAGAGGCAAAGACACCTTTAAACCATCAGAGGCAAAGACACTTTTGAACCATCAGAGGCAAAGTCACTTTTGAACCATCAGAGGCAAAGACACCTTTAAACCACCAGAGGCAAAGACACCTTTAAACCATCAGAGGCAAAGACACTTTTGAACCATCAGAGGCAAAGTCACTTTTGAACCATCAGAGGCAAAGACAAACCATCAGAGGCAAAGTCACTTTTAAACCATCAGAGGCAAAGTCACTTTTGAACCATCAGAGGCAAAGACACCTTTAAACCACCAGAGGCAAAGACACCTTTAAACCATCAGAGGCAAAGACACTTTTAAACCATCAGAGGCAAAGTCATTTTTGAACCATCAGAGGCAAAGACAAACCATCAGAGGCAAAGTCACTTTTAAACCATCAGAGGCAAAGTCACTTTTGAACCATCAGAGGCAAAGGCATTTTTAAACCATCAGAGGCAAAGACACTTTTAAACCATCAGAGGAAAAGTCATTTTTAAACCATCAGAGGCAAAGACACACTATCAGAGGCAAAGTCATTTTTAAACCATCAGAGGCAAAGACACACCATCAGAGGCAAAGTCACTTTTAAACCATCAGAGGCAAAGTCATTTTTAAACCATCAGAGGCAAAGTCACTTTTAAACCATCAGAGGCAAAGACACACCATCAGAGGCAAAGTCACTTTTAAACCATCAGAGGCAAAGTCACTTTTAAACCATCAGAGGCAAAGTCACTTTTAAACCATCAGAGGCAAAGTCACTTTTAAACCATCAGAGGCAAAGTCACTTTTAAACCATCAGAGGCAAAGTCACTTTTAAACCATCAGAGGCAAAGTCACTTTTAAACCATCAGAGGCAAAGTCACTTTTAAACCATCAGAGGCAAAGTCAAACCATCAGAGGCAAAGTCACTTTTAAACCATCAGAGGCAAAGTCAAACCATCAGAGGCAAAGTCACTTTTAAACCATCAGAGGCAAAGTCAAACCATCAGAGGCAAAGTCACTTTTAAACCATCAGAGGCAAAGACAAACCATCAGAGGCAGAGTCACTTTTAAACCATCAGAGGCAGAGTCACTTTTAAACCATCAGAGGCAAAGTCACTTTTAAACCATCAGAGGCAAAGTCACTTTTAAACCATTAGAGGCAAAGTCACTTTTAAACCATCAGAGGCAAAGACAAACCATTAGAGGCAAAGTCACTTTTAAACCATTAGAGGCAAAGTCACTTTTAAACCATCAGAGGCAAAGACAAACCATTAGAGGCAAAGTCACTTTTAAACCATTAGAGGCAAAGTCACTTTTAAACCATCAGAGGCAAAGACAAACCATTAGAGGCAAAGTCACTTTTAAACCATCAGAGGCAAAGACAAACCATTAGAGGCAAAGTCACTTTTAAACCATCAGAGGCAAAGTCACTTTTAAACCATTAGAGGCAAAGTCACTTTTAAACCATCAGAGGCAAAGTCACTTTTAAACCATTAGAGGCAAAGTCACTTTTAAACCATCAGAGGCAAAGTCACTTTCAAACCATTAGAGGCAAAGTCACTTTTAAACCATCAGAGGCAAAGTCACTTTTAAACCATCAGAGGCAAAGTCAAACCATCAGAGGCAAAGTCACTTTTAAACCATCAGAGGCAAAGTCAAACCATCAGAGGCAAAGTCACTTTTAAACCATCAGAGGCAAAGACAAACCATCAGAGGCAGAGTCACTTTTAAACCATCAGAGGCAGAGTCACTTTTAAACCATCAGAGGCAAAGTCACTTTTAAACCATCAGAGGCAAAGACAAACCATCAGAGGCAGAGTCACTTTTAAACCATCAGAGGCAGAGTCACTTTTAAACCATCAGAGGCAAAGTCACTTTTAAACCATCAGAGGCAAAGTCACTTTTAAACCATTAGAGGCAAAGTCACTTTTAAACCATCAGAGGCAAAGACAAACCATTAGAGGCAAAGTCACTTTTAAACCATCAGAGGCAAAGTCACTTTTAAACCATCAGAGGCAAAGACAAACCATTAGAGGCAGAGTCACTTTTAAACCATCAGAGGCAAAGTCATTTTTAAACCATCAGAGGCAAAGACAAACCATTAGAGGCAGAGTCACTTTTAAACCATCAGAGGCAAAGTCACTTTTAAACCATCAGAGGCAAAGTCACTTTTAAACCATTAGAGGCAAAGTCACTTTTAAACCATCAGAGGCAAAGACAAACCTTCAGAGGCAAAGTCACTTTTAAACCATCAGAGGCAAAGAGTTTTAAAGCAATCTATGAAGACAAACTGGACAGAGGAAAATAAAAATGACAGACCTGAGCACGACAGCATAAAAAGGCTTGGCAGGAATGCCCAGACCAAAATTGTCAGACTCAGACAGGGACATTGCAAATTCAGAGCACACCTACATCAAATAGGGTTTGCTATCTCTGCTGCATGTGGTTGTGGTTCACCAAAGCAAGCACCAGACTTAGTCATAGAGAAGCGATCTGGTCCACAGAAGGCAAGCTTCATTGGGAAGATCACAGGTAGTGAGCATACTTTGGATCTTTTCTTCAGGCCATGGTGGGGAATGAACAGGCAGACAGACTGGCTGGATCTGCACCGCTGGGTGGAGAATTGATACATGACAAGGCAGATGTGGTCAGAGCCGTCTGGGAACAAGTAACGAAGTCAAAAGAGAAACTATATTATTATAGGCTGGAGAGAAAGAAAGAACCTGGGTGCGACCAGAGGATTCAGCAGACACACTGCGCTCAGAGAAAGCAAGACTATGACTGGCACAATTAGTACTGGAAATCTGCGCTGGTTGCTGAGGATGAAGACAAAGCGCGTGTGGCAAAATACAAAATTATTTTCCAAAGTCAAATTTTCTTAACTTGGGAAAAAAAAAGGATCAGCTTTACAAATTACATTTAACAATGAACACTGCAGCAACAATCTTTCGTTAGCAAACAAATTTAGAGACAAAAAATAAAAAAATATAAAGAAGGAAATGATACCTAAATAACTTCATAAAAATAAAAATGATTAATAAAATATCTGAGAAAACCAGAACTGGACTTCATTTGCCTATAAACTTACTTAGGGTTCACCCCTTCACTAATTTAAAACAAAACAAAATAAAACAGAATGCTGCTCCTCTCTGGTGCACGGGTAGTGAGGCTATGCCGGCGTAGTGGGTAATGAACAGGCAGATGTATTGGCTGGATCTGCACCACTGGGTGGTGAACTGATATATGACAAAGCAGATGTGGTCAAGGCCCTTTGGGAACAAGCAATGGAATCAGTGGAGAAAAAAGATAATTATGGCCTGGAGAGAATGAGGCACCTGGGTGCAACAAGAGGGTCTGGCCGGCTGAATTCAGAGGAAAGGCAAGACGGACATATAACCAGATTGTGACCAGTACTATCAGTATTGGAACTCTGCACTAGAATGGGAAAGCCCTGAATGCTGTGATGTCAATTCTTGACAACTCAACTCTCTGGTGCATGACAAAAGGGAGGTGGCCATCTTTGAACTGTTATTTAGGACATCAGAGTGTTCATCTGCAGTGTGATGTCACACGCTTAACACTCCTGACATTACAATAATACTTTATTCAACAATGGCACAGTTTTTGTTGTTGTAATGTCTACCACAATTTAAAGCTTATCACTGAAACCTCCTATATATATATATAATATGTATACATATATATATATATATGCGTATATATATATATAGACATATATATGCGTATATATAGATATATATAGCATATAATATATAATATTATATATATTAGTATAGCCACAATATATATATATCTATATAATAATATATATATATCTATAGCATATGGTGCATGTGGAGCAATGAGGTATCTACTTGACTTTCCAACAATGAAAAAAGGATCAGGATGTGGAGGGCTCGGGCATATCTCAAAATATGTGCTGATAAGAAACACCCACTGCATCAAGCGCTTTTTACTGAAAAGGGCGACAGACTGAAGAGGGGGAAATCGTGGCTAGGTCAGGCAGAAGATATTAGGCAAATATGCAGCCTAACCGACATCATACATGGTGCAGATATGGATACCTGTGCTCAGGCGTTCATTTGTACATTTTCCTGTATTGTCACACTCAACAGGCGATGTAGAGAAGAGAATCCTGTCGCTGTTAATGCAGAGGTCAAAACGCTCTCATCGGTGAAAATTCAGATGAAGCAGATGCAATAATCTATACAGACGGATACGTTATACGCCAAAGAAGAAGCGCATGGGCATTTACAGCACGCTCAGCGGGCAGAACAGTCAAAGAAGCCAACGGCGCCTTCTCCATGACAACCAGCAGCATGACAATGGAGGTGATGGCAAATGACGCAAGCGCTTGCCTGGCTTGAAACACAAAAATACACCCGCGTGTGTATACTCAGTGATTCAATGAGTATGATCCTGAGGGTTCAAGCAGGTTCAGTGCGAAGACAACCTTGAATCATTACAGAAGTCACTGTGCGTGGAGTCACCTTTATTTTTGTTCCGGGACACGCAGGCGTCGATGGAAATGAAAGAGCTGACAGGTTGGTGGAAAGCTATCACTACCGAACGGTCAGCCTATGGATCATGCTGATATTATCAATGCCCTCCGAGAAATGGGAAGGATAGAGGACTTTGGTGGCAGTGAATCCATATCACTCGCCAGAATGGCAGACTGGGAATTAAGATCGGCAAGCAAAAAACGATCGCACACCAGAAACGCTAGAAGGACTTGTTAATCAACATAGAACTGGTACTTATTAGCCATCGGACGTTGGGGTTCATACTGAGGGGAGGATCTGAGCACCTATGGACATGTCCGGAGTGCAATGAGGATAACCCAACTAACTAACTAACTAACTAATATATGGTGCGTGTACATATGTGTGTAGTGTGCGTGCACATGCACAGACAGGCCAGTGCGTGTGTATACCCAAACATACAAAACAACAAAGACACAAGCAGTGGAGCCACAACTTACCTCATCTGCCATAATAAACAGGTTTTCATCTTTAGCAAACTTGATGACGTCTTCAATGTTTTTCCTGGTCAGCACTTGGCCTGAACATTGGATGAACATTTATGTTTAACGGGTTCTCTTGTATTTCAGATTAACATTCTCAAGGACTAGATTGCTGAACATAAAATTTTCTTCTTCTTCAGCATTCCGAGCCCTTGAGGTTCATTGATGCAGATATTACCCATCTCCATTCATATCTCTGGTTGGCCTTCTCTGTCCAGTTGGTGACACCAAGTGTTTGCAGGTCTGTCTGGATATTATCTTTCCATATCTTCTAGGTCTGCCTCATGGTCTATGACCATTTATCTCCCTTGTGTATACAGTTTTTACGTCTCTGCCATCTGACATTCTTTCAATATGTCCCAACCATTTCAGTCTATTAGCTCTCATGATGCTAGTGATCAGTGGTGATTTACACAAATTATTAATTTTCGTCGTTGCTTCTAACTCTCCATTCATCGCTGTTTACATCTTTGATGAGTCCAAAGATTCGTCGTAAGACTGTTTTAAAAAACCTGTAATATGGCTTCATTAAAATTATAAGTTGTGGAAAATATGAAGATAACTGCAGCGAGAAAAAGAGCTATACTAAATCGTGCAGTTATACGCATGAGAGACATGGATAATAAACAGACAATAGGAAATCATTTACCTGCAGCAACATGGTTTTTAAAAATATCAAGAATATCATGGAACGATAAAAGAAAGACATAAGAGGCAGCCCTCTGCAAGAAAAATGGAAACCGTAAACAGAAAAATTAGACGTAGAGAGGCAGTCTTCTCTTGACAAGATATGTGAAGGCCTGATCTTAAGAACTTGGTTACGACAGGCAAGAGAGACAAAGAGCAAGGGGAGAGCAGAGATATAAATACCTGGATTACTTGGGCATGTGGATGGGGGAGGGGAAAGGCAAGAACATTGACCTGATCTGTGATTCTGTTAACTGTGTGGGATGGTGAAACATGACTGCCTATGCTTACTGTCGCGGCACATGAAGATGATGAAAAACATAACATAAAAGAAAATTAGTAACCAAGAAAATGAGATGTCTGAGAAAGGCTGTAGGAGTGACCAGGAAATAAAATCGGAAATGAGATCCTACGAGACAAAGTCAGCACAGAATCTATTCTAAATTACATACACAGCAAATCAAATGGTTTGCCCACTTGGGAGAGAATGTTTTCTGACGCTATAAAATTCAAGGCATATACCAAAAGAGGAGAGGGATGTAGAGCAAGAGGCAGACCAAGAACAAAATAGAAGGATAACATTAAAGAAACTACAGTACCATGATGTGTCTTTGGTCAAAGCAGCCAGAAAAGCACGGAGCAGGACCAGGACCTTATGTCTCCCTCGACACATGAAGCAGTAAAAGAGGATGTAAAGAAGAAGAGGAGGAAGAGATTATAAACTGGAGAGGGACAACATAAACAAATTTGACATGGAAGAACAAAATGTGTAATCTTCGGAGGATAGCACATCCACACAAAATAGGAATACAGGAATCTGCCACCAGTGAATACGCAGCAGAGAGACTTCCGAGCCTGGTCTGCAGGACTGCCAGAACTACTACTGGCGGAGGTTGGGAATTAGGTTAAACAAAACCACATTTTAAGATGAGCTGTGCAAACTGGCAGCAATGTTAGACATATTGTCCTGTTTGTGACCCCTCTTATTGTGTGGCGTTGGTAGTCATGCCTATCTCCACAACCTTCTGTCTTGTGTACTTTCAATCAACACTGAAACATTGTCCTCCATGCCATGATATCAAACTGTCCAGCATCTTTTCTCTCAGTCTCCCCCTGCCTCTCCTCCCCTCCCAACTTTCCCACTGTCATGTTTTCTCCTTATCACATAAAAACCAAAGAATGTATATTCTCTCTTTCTGATGTGACTCAGGCAGGACTAAATGTTTAGCATGGCTGATGCCAAATGAAGCAGAATACTGCTGCTTTTAAAACCACTTAGTGAACAAGCTGATGTAAAGATCTAACAGATTCAAGGAAGTGAACACCTCACCTGTAGGGTTTCCAGGATTAATTATGCAGATGGCCCGAGGTTTGCAGTGAGGTCTGGCCTCAGAGACAGCACGCTTCAGCTCATTTAGGTTCAATGCCCAATTATCTTCCTCATTCAGGTAATAGCCAATCTGGAAAAGTACACAAACAGATAATTCAGGTTTATCTTAAATATCTGCTACTATTCAACATTAACCGTGTTAGCGCAGTTGATAGGAGATTCGTTTTCAAATCCAGCTGCAACTTGCAGCCAACGGCTGGTGCTCGAAACCAGGCATTTTCCGGGTTCACCCAGCCTCTAGGTAATAGGTACCAGAGTTATTACTCTTGGGTAAATGGAGGAACGTTGCTGTAGCTACGGAGTTACGTGTGGACAGAGACACAGGCGGACAGTTTCTTATCAGTATAGATCAGTGGAGGACATCTGTTACAACAGTTACATGTTGGTAGAAACTAGGCTGTATAGATTAGAAGAAGGCATGTGTTACAACAGTTACATGTTGGTAGAAACCAGGCTGTATAGATCAGAAGAAGGCATGTGTTACAACAGTTACATGTTGGTAGAAACCAGGCTGTATAGATCAGAAGATGGCATGTGTTACAACAGTAAGCATGTTGGTAGAAACCAGGCTGTATAGATCAGAAGAAGGCATGTGTTACAACAGTTACATGTTGGTAGAAACCAGGCTGTATAGATCAGAAGAAGGCATGTGTTACAACAGTTACATGTTGGTAGAAACCAGGCTGTATAGATCAGAAGAAGGCATGTGTTACAACAGTTAGCATGTTGGTAGAAACCAGGCTGTATAGATCAGAAGAAGGCATGTGTTACAACAGTTAGCCTGTTGGTAGAAACCAGGCTGTATAGATCAGAAGAAGGCATGTGTTACAACAGTTACATGTTGGTAGAAACCAGGCTGTATAGATCAGAAGAAGGCATGTGTTACAACAGTTAGCCTGTTGGTAGAAACCAGGCTGTATAGATCAGTGGAGGACATGTGTTACAACAGTAAGCATGTTGGTAGAAACCAGGCTGTATAGATCAGAAGAAGGCATGTGTTACAACAGTAAGCATGTTGGTAGAAACCAGGCTGTATAGATCAGAAGAAGGCATGTGTTACAACACAGCTATCAGAGAGACCTGAGGCCTTAGAAAACTAAGGGCAGGGAACCAAAACACAGAGAACCCAATCTGCAAAAGTACAATTAAGCAAACAGATTACTATGAGGTTGCACAGAACTGTTTGCCAAATTCGGACCGTCACAACTGTACAATTTATATCACACCTGGCATTCATGCCTGTGCAAGTTCAGCAACCAGTATCTTCCGCATCAGGAAAAACACACTGTGACATCAGGCCTACCTATCATATCACCACTTGACCTTTGCCTAGCCTCAGATCTAAGTGAACATGATCACAGCACAGACCACACATTATCACACATGGTATTTTGAATAGTGCAGGCTCGGTTATATTTCCCCATACAGGTAGTGACCATGAAAAACACTGGCATGTCGCAATCAGACTGACTTCTGCGTCGCCTCAAACCTCAGTGAAAAGGAACACTACCGACACTACAAACATGGTATTCTGAACAGTTAAGTCAATGCAGGCTCAGTACCCCGTTATCTTCCTCACTTAGGTAGTGCTCAATCAGGAAAAAATACTAGCACATGACAAGATTTAATCTTCTCATAATCCCAACAAATGTAGAAAAGGATCAATGCCCAGTTATCTTCCTCATTTAAACAGGCAAAATATGAGCAAGTAACAATAATGTTTACCATTCCTCTGTTGACTTGTCATTTTGTAATTTTTCTGATATGAAATTTTCCCTTACAAAAAAATTGGAACAAAAACTATTTTATTTACTATATATATATATATATATATATATATATATATATATATATATATATATATATATATATATATATATATATATATATATATATATATATATATATATATATATATATATATATATATGTATATATATATATGTATATATATATATATATGTATATATATATATATATATATATATATGTATATATATATGTATATATATATGTATATATATATATATATATATGTATATATATATATATATATATATATATATATATATATATATATATGTGTGTGTGTGTGTGTGTGTGCATAGACAGGCAGATAGTAGACAGACAAGACAGATGCACAGACCAAAAAAAAACATGTCTACATATACTTATATATAAGTAGACAGACAAGCAGAGCAATATATACAGACAGGTTTAGACAAAGAAAAACATACAGACAGGCAGGCAGCTAGACAAAGTAGAGAAATACAGACACACAAAAACTGACTGATGTTTTTACCCCACAAGGACATAACAAGCAATAAACACTCGGTGACACAAAGTGCCATCATTAGGAGGAGGATCACCCAGGGAAAAGTCACAGAAACCCCATTAAACTCCCAGATGGGCTGTGATATCCATAGTACCGAGCCAAAGGGTTCTGAACTCATGGTTTCTGGATATTAAAAAAAAAAAATCCGACCAAATAGAGAAACATACACAGTAGACAGATATATATATACAAACAGGAAGCTAGACAGAAAAGCAGAGAAATATAAACAGAAAGAAAAGTAGACAAACACTAGAGAAAGAGGCAGTGTGGGGATTAGCCAAGTGTCAACAGTGAGAACAACTGACATGTAAGCATTATCTCCCCCAGCAAGTCTTAGTAACCTCCCCTTATCTGACTAAGCAGATTAAGCCTGTCCAAGAAACAATAGTCTGACCCACAAAGCTGCTTGCATCATCCCTTGTCACCTTGACAAGTGCTATAATCATTCTCTGACCCCAATAACAAACACAACAGGTAGATAACATTAGTTATTAAGTCACATGATCAGTTAATCTGTCTTCAAATTATTTCTTTAAGCTTCTTTCTCCCATCTTTTATCTCTTGGGCAAAGGTCATTAAGTTGTTAGGCTGATGACAAACATGGTCACTTTATTTCCATGTCAATTAATTTATCACTGTCTCAAGTAGTAAGGACAAGAATTCTTGCATTATCTTGATAACTGGACGCACACAAGACCAACATCTGCAAGGGACTGTAGTAACACATTGCAAAGAAAGGACTTCTACTTTACTCTCCCCATACACACACACCAGGGGTGCCAACACAAAGGAAACTATGGTAGACTCAGTCTTGTTAAGTGTCATAAGCCTTGTTAAGTGCATAATAATACCAATGTGCTCAGCATCAAATAAATGTATTTGGATTATGAAAGGAACAAATATATATAGAGAGAGCTTCTATTCATAGTTGGAAGGGGGCTTCGTTTGGTTGTACTTTGCCCCCCCCCCCCTCCAATATCCAAGGATAGCACCTAATAGGCAACCCCTCCCCCTAACCTTTATTTTTCAACCACTTCTGGGGAGCTCAAGAGTCCTAAATCCCCATATTCCAGTGCCCCTAATACGTTGCGAATGCTTAGACAGTACAGTAGCTTAAAAAAAAAAAAATTAAAAATTGCCTGGAAAAAACATTATAAGCAGCTTTAAGAAAAAGTGGGAGCTATCCTGGTGTAGCGGCTAGACGCTCGCCTGTGGAATCGGAAGGTCGTGGATTCAGGCCCTGAGTGTATCGGACATTTAAAAAAAAAAAAAAAATTTCTTGGCTCCCAGGTCGACACAACTGAGGTCCTAGGAAGTAAAGGTGGCCGGTTTTGCATTACTTATAAGAAAAAGCCTTGATATTCTGGTAATGTAATAACATCGTTTAAAAAAAAACACTCATCATCATCAAGTGTCTTGCCAGCTAGCGAAGGTGTTCATCCATCTCTACAGATATCAGTCTTTGGTGTTCTGGATCAATTCCACCCATGATATTTTTTATTGCCACTGTCTCAAACCACCCACCATCATTTCTCTAGGTGTGCCTCTGCCTCTTCTACTAGTGATCCTTTCAGTCACAATATTTTCTAGTGCTACTTTTCTCATCACCTGACCAAAGAACTGTCTTCTCATTGTATTATATAATGTTCTACCTTTATAAGCCATTTCCAGGCAATCATGTTTAGTTATTCTGGTAGTCCAAGATTTTCACAAGAATCTTCTCAAGAACCACATCTCGGTTGCTTCCAAACTCTTCTTTTTTTGTCTGCTCACATTCCAAGATTCACTGCCAGACAACAGAACAGGCTCGATATGACATTTCAGTAATAGTTTTCTGATGTTTAATGAGAGTGATGTATTACACAGGATACTTTTTATCTTTTGAAATGCTGCCTTTGCCTGGCCAATTCTGCTCTTAATTTCTGTCACACATTGTCCATTAGATGTTAAGTATGTCCCTAAATACTTGAATTGCTTGACTTAGTTAAGCACTGTCCCTTCTATAGCTTTGTCACATTTTGGAGTTTTCTTTGATATAAACATTGTTGATTATTGATATTGAAGAAAAATCCCTTTTTTTTTTGCACTCTCTAGCACCACAAACATCTAACAGCTGTCGTGGGTCTTCTGCCTTGTCAGCTATTAATACTGCATCCCCCCGTGTGGGTTCCGGGGTCCTATTGTGGGGAAAACAAGAATAGACCCACTGCCTCCCCAAAAGCATGTCGTAAGAGTCGACTAACTGGGGAGCTTCCTTTGAAGTCAAAGTGCATCTGCCTGAGAGGCAAGGAACCAGCAGTCTGCATTCAATAGAATCAGATCTGTAAAACTGATGCACATGCAACACCAAGGTTCTGGAGCAGGACTGCAGTCCAGAAGTGGACGAACAACCAGAACTTTACGCCAGAATGTACAGCTGGTGAACTCAAAGAAGAAGAAGAATACTGCATCATCTGCATAACGAATATTGGTTATGAAAACTGATGAACATTTAATGGGAAGAATTTCAAGACAGGAGAAGAAATAAGAGAAATGACTAAACAACCGCTGGTAACAGTACTAAAACTAAGAAGTTGGCAATATAATGGGCATTTCATGAGGAGAAGCGGACACAGAATTTATAAAGATAAACCAAAATAAGAAACAAATAGAACTGACAAAATGAGGACGTCTAAGATTGTATCCACTATTTCAACACAAAATTTCACAGTCTGTTTCAACACAAAATTTAACAGTACAATTACTTACAGGATAGGCATTGTACTCTGCGATTGTTGCTGTGTACAACGGGTACTGGGGGATGGGGATCATGACTCCTGTGCGATCCTGCCCAGGAAGTGAAGTCATCAAAAGTTTCAGAACATTCTGGAAGAATATATTACAAAAAATGTGAAAAAAGGAAATTATTTTTTGACAAACAAACCTTTACACGTTGATAATTTATGCCATACATAGAATAATCATTCTTCCACAAGATAAGTACTCCTAAAATAACCATAATGTATATTTGTTACAGAATGGGTCAAGAAAGTTTTTTTTTTTTCAACACACAGTTTCAGTACAGGCTTTTTATCTACCTTCTATTCCCTGATGCATAGAGATTATTTCCCATTTTAGGCTAGGCCCTTTTTTTTAAACCTTCTAAAGTTCCTTCATAAATGTTCTATACAGTTAACCTCTGCTTTTAAGTCTCTTCATGTGCTGTTCAACAAATATTCCATAAAGTAGAAAAGGTTATCTGAACAGCACCAACAATATTGTTACTCTCAAAAATTTTTAAGAAAATGAGTATTCTAATAATATTCCTTACCCTAATTGCCTCGCTAGCTCCGGTGCTGAGGAAAATGTTATTTGCGTCTGCTGGGATACCATCTCGCTCGGAAATGTATTTTGCAGCATCTTCTCGAACCACAGAAAGTCCTGCACTGTCACTGTATGCTCCTGGAAGAGCAGGGAATCAATAATAAAAGTAAATGTGACAAGAATTTAACATTTACTGAAATATCAATGACAAATACATTAAAGCAGACATTTTTAGAACATGTATCTTTCTTGTGTAAATGTACGATTATGAATTGCTGACCAATTCACAATCAGTAAAAAAGAAAACAGATTTTTAAACATGAATGTTATAAGAAAACTTCAGTGCAGAGAATCTATCCATCAGTGCAGATAATCTATCCTTCAATGCAGAAGATAAGACTTTTAAGGATTGTGTATATATATATATATATATGAATTCCACAGATAGACAGAAGAAATTAAACACTTTAAAAGATCTCAACACCAAAGAAGATTGGATAATAAACAGCATCTTGTCTTGGAAGCTGAAATATTTTGGTCATAGCAAGCGATAGAAACAAAAAGCAGAAGGCATGGTACCAGGAAGGATGGGCAGGGGCTGACCAACATGGATGGGCGCAGGACGTAAGTGACTCCCTGAATATGAAAGTGCATGAGGTAGGAAAACTGGCAAGTGACAGTTTCAGGCAGACTGCAAAGGGACCAGTTACAGGACCACGATATATAAAACGAAGGTGCTTTATTAATATCTAACTCCAGATGGCATCACAGGACAGTCCAACATTGTAGAGGGTGGTGAGCCTGGGTTTCCCAGCTTTCTGATGCTTTTAACCACCCCAAAACATCTAGAACTGACCCTAACCCACCTACATCCCACGAGAGAGTGCAGCCTTTCTAACCCCACCTGAAATATCAGACTGTCCCGTGACCTGTGGATTTGCCCCCTTTTCGGGTAGGATATTAATAAAGGAACAAAACAAATTTTAAAAAACAACTTCAAGTAACTGAACACTAACAAGCAAAACATACATGGCAATTTTATGCTTCTGGAAGTATAAAAAAAATAAGCAAGCAACTACTTAATACAAATTCATGTCAATATAACATACATTTTCACATTTACTGAAATCCTTGTGCTACAATAAACATGCAACAGAGTACGCTACATCCATCCAATGGCTTAAACAAGACAAACAATCCAGACAGACAAGGACAAACTAACCCAGACTTCTCCCTCCGCAGGAGCCGAGAATTCTGTCAGCCCTCTGCTTGGCATCATCTGGGAAGTTGGGGTCCTTCAAAAGCTTTGGGTACACACACAAAGCTATGACCTAGCAGAAAAAGTTAACACACACAATTCTTGCATGGGCTGTAGTAGATCCCACACACATCACAGCACAAAGCATACTCTAATGGTGCTAATATAATGAGTGATGCACATGCTGGGCGGCTCAGTGGTTCAAAATGACTCCAGCAAGTGGCTACCAGAGTCCAATTAGCAGTCTCTGTAGTTGATCTCTACTGGAGCCACTGATCTTAATAGAAGCCCCATTATTTTAAAATGGAGGTCTCTGTGATGAAGTGGTCAAGATGTTTGCCTTGTACTCTGAAGGTAAACTTTCCTGCAGTGGTGCCTGGGGGTGATTCCTGTAGTGACCCCTGGAGGTGATTCCTGTAGTGACCCCTGGAGGTGATTCCTGTAGTGACCCCTGGAGGTGATTCCTGTAGTGACCCCTGGAGGCGATTCCTGTAGTGACCCCTGGAGGTGATTCCTGTAGTGACCCCTGGAGGTGATTCCTGTAGTGACCCCTGGAGGTGATCCCTGTAGTGACCCCTGGAGGTGATTCCTGTAGTGACCCCTGGAGGTGATTCCTGTAGTGACCCCTGGAGGCGATTCCAGCAGTGGTGCCTGGAGGCGATTCCAGCAGTAGTGCCTGGAGGTGATTCCTGTAGTGGCACTTGGTAAGAAAAGATGGCTGATACCACACATTTTGATCCTGTGGTAATGGAGCAGAAATCCAACCTTTTCAGACATGGGTGAACAAATCAAGATTCTTGTCACATTGCAATTAGATCTTTTTAGTGGTCCATGGAGACGAACCCAGCACTGGCACCTGAGCAAACCCAAGAAGGGATTTTTGGAATAGACCCCATTAGTGTCCCTGGGGCTGTCCTTACAGTCTTTAAAAGTGCTCTCTGAGTAAATTCTGAACCGAAATGCTAAACCTGTAATTCCAGTTAAGGGGTCGTGGAGGTGCCAGGATGAAGGATTAATACACAGGCCGTAAATATTTCCTTACCCTCAGCTGCATGTAGAAGTAAATATATACTGTGACAAGAGTCCTACTTTCTCACCCTTGTGTGAAAAGATTAGATATCTTATCTACTGATGAGGGATCAAAGAGTGCATGACCTCTCAGTTTTCTTCTTCTTCAGCATTCCAAGCCCTTGAGGTTCACTGCTGCAGATATCACCTGCCTCCATTCATCTCTCTGGTTGGCCTTCTCTTTCCAGTTGGTGACACCAAGGGTTTGTAGGTCTGTCTGGACATTATCTCTCCACCGTCTTCTTGGTCTACCTCATGGTCTCAGTTTTCTTACATTGTAAAAATCAAAAAAATGAATACCATGAACTGGACCAAGTCTGCTTTAGTTAGAGATGGTCATCAAAACATCTAAATGAACTCGAGAATGGTGCTACTGTGGTGGGCAGCCGCCTAAATGCAGCGGCCAGACGCTTGCCTGCAGATCCAAAGGTTGTGGGTTTAAGCCTGTACAGAGCCAGAATATTTTAATGCATGATCTTGGCTACCAGGTATACCCAGCCTGAAATTGGTACCAGGAAAAGTCATGGGAACTAAAGGTGGTCAATGTGTTGCTAACCACATTACCTCCTTAGTGCCGATGGTCTGGAAAATATAGTTTTAGCACCATATGGACAATGCGCCTAAAGTAGAAAAGGGTCCTTTACTATTGTGTGTGAAGGGCAGATGAGCAATGAACTAGGCACTGAATTCTTGAGAAATAAGACATTTGTGAGAACCAAGTAATAACAGTGTCGCTGGTCGGGACAGTTTTTTTTACTGTCTCTTTTGATTGCATCAACACTATAGGAGTCCTTTTCAGTGCTCTTGGGGGTGTGCAATGCTAACCCATTTTATATGGCGCACATAATATAAAGCTTCCCCTTCGGAGTTGCTGGTTGAAAGTGACAATTTTGTTGTTAGGCAAAGCAACGGAACAAACAGCACTATGAAGAGGTGAAAGAAGAAACAAACCAGTAGAGAACTGGTGACGTGAGTCGCTACATGCTGCAGGATTTACTGAGGAGGGGATCCAAGCACTTATGGACTGAATGGTTCGATCTGCAATGATGATGTCTGTAACTACAAATCTTCTTTCGTTCGCTCGAAACAGATTATCTATGCCTGCAATGTTGTCTCTAGTATGAACTTCAATGTATAGGTATTTTTCCTATGACATTTGTGCGTGGCATCATGATTTTTAAGGTACGCCTCCTGGCTGGTTGGCTCCGACTTCAGCACCTATTTTTAATTATTCTGGTAAGCTAGATCGACGTACTGGCATATGTGACCCAATTGTCCTCTCTGACATGTGTGTGTGCCTGTAAATAGGACTTTGGCATCATAAGCATCATTCTTGCATCAACATTGGTACTGACCGCCGACATAGCATTGCTGCTTCATTGACAAACCAGAAATCAAAAGCATCTATTTATGGCTGATTTACACAAAACATGCCAAAAGACAGTTGAAACCTGACAAACTATCACTGCAGTTTCCATATAGACAAAAAAAAACTGGCAAAAGCAAATACAAAATTTAGGATGAATCAGCTAAGTAATGAAAATAAAAGCTAAACAATGCAACATATGAAACTAGCATTAACTATTTCTAAGGCAAGCAAAAACAACAAAAAACAGGATAATAATATGGCTACAGACCTGTCTTAAAAATGTCAAGGGCTCTTGTCCGGTTGCGTGACAGTCCCCAATGTTGGCACGGATAACATCTGCAAAATTTCTTTTGGCTCCCTGTAGAACAGAGGGGAAGACATTTTATACATAACATATATATATGTGTGTGACCAGGGAGTGAACTTGACACCATATCTTGTATGTAATGGCCTGGAATATGTGAAGATTTCTGAATGTTGAGCTCAGCACTGGCATCACAGCACTTTGGACATACACATAAATGCTCCGTCAACCTCTTCAGCAGCTAGTGAAGTGTCTGAATTCTAATGATGCTAGTAAAAGTTTGATTATATGTCCATCTTGTGTCTCCTCTAAGTGTAGTGCTAACAGATAACTGGTCACTTCCAGCTGTACCATTCTCTCCAGACCATAACAATCCGTGTGCCTCTACACTGTTGATTTGTTTCCAAAAGGCAAAGGTTTCTTACTTCACACCCCAACTTTAGTATCCAATATAAGACTGTTACTTTTTATATTATCCCTCTCACAAGTCAGTATACAACAATCATAATATTTTATGAGGGAAGAAATCTATTTTCAACTGCCCATCTTCTTTTCAAGTATACAAAAAATAAGTTTGTTGTAGAATTTCTCAATTTGTAATGTAGTTTGGGAAGAGACCTATTTAAAGATTCACAAGAAAAAAATGTTTTAGTGAACTGTTTTATCGCAATGACCAGCTTAACCATTTAAATACACTGGCGACATCAAGGAGATTAGACAATTGTTAAAATAATCTGCAGACAGAAAAGATTAAAATTCTAGATGTCTCAATTATAACCTTGAAGGACTATACAGGACATGTCTGGTTATTACTACTGGTGTTATTAGCTATTACTGCTACTGTTAGAGGAGTCGCTAGATGCTCGATAATGGGGTTTGGGTCCCGATGGAGCCAAACTTTAAAAAAAAAAATAAATGACTCTGACTCCCAGGTCAACCTTTGAGTGGGTACCAGGTGCAGTCCTGGAAAGTAAAGGTGGCCGACCTGATGACTACATCAACTATTTGGCTATAAAATAAAGGTCTAGCTCTATATGCCTGAAGGTATGGAAAAGGTCCTTTACTTTTTTTACTATTAGAATCTCACCAGCTGATTTGAATATTAAATGACTAAAATTACACACTGACATTCACTTCAGGTCCTACAATGTATTTTCATAACATTCAATGGTACTTTCCCAATATTTACCCTCACAAATGTGATTTCCACAGGTCACAGGACAGTCTAATATTTCAGGGGGGGGGGGGGGGGGGGGGGGGGGGTGGGGGTAGACAAATCATATAGTTAGTAATTTGGCATTTCATTTGCTGTGCAGTTTTGTGCTTCTTGTGCTGTGTTTTTGGTGTGCATTTTTCTGTATGTCGGTACAATCGGGAGGATGCAGTTTTAGTGGGTGGTTTCTACTTTTTTTTTTGCTAAGAAGGCTACACTCATGTGAGATGTTGGTGGGTTGGGGTTAGGTCATTTGTGGATGTTTTGGGGTTGTTAAAAGCTGCTGCTTGTGAGTCCCAGCCATCTAGTTAAGCCCTGCTCCGTGCGTAGTGGCGCGGGAGATACTCTCGGCCGTGACTTTAACTCGATGGAAGCTTTTTTGCGGTATGTTGTGTAGTCGCCGTAAGAGGTCCACAATTTACATGTGACTGAGGCCCTGTTAGGGTATATTTTCGGCCTCGATAATTTGGGGCCGTTATTTGAAGGATAGCCCAATATTTTAATAAGACTGAAGGTTTGAAGACATCTTCTCTACTGCTGATTTGATCATTTAATTTTTTTTTTATTTAAGTAATTTATTTAACATTCAATAAAAATAAAAGCTACCCTTTAAACATTCATGTGTCTGTCTTTTATATGTTGTGCATAATATTCTAGAACAAACCTGGTTAAGCTCTTTCTCAATTTCTCCAGCTCTGGTGACAATGGGACCTCTAACCGCATACTCAATGTTTTTCACGTGCGGGTTCATGGTATCAATTGTTAAAACTTTCCCTCTCCTGGACGTCGTGTCCACCATCTTTGTCCTGCACAGGTACTTGGTTGACAACATCAACGACCTGTCCACTGAACGCAACATTTTCACAGCTACAAGGAAAACTTCGTGTCTAAACTTAAAACTTAAACCGTGAACAAATTTCAACGGGCGGAATATACTTGAAAATCACGGGTGACTGCACGTAAATCACATAACCACTCCGCCCGCTACGAAAATCTCATCTACTGTTATTTCTCGTAGCAGCAGCAGCAGCCGCCGAGGTCGCAAGTAGGGGTTACAACCTTTGACCCTCTTTATTTATTTGTTTCACTTCTGCAGAAGATATTCCGGAAGTGGCGGTGTCGATCAAAATGGCGAATGGCTCTGGTCAACGGAGGCGATGAAGATTGCAGATCTTTTTTCTTCTTCTTGTCTTATGAGCGACCGTCAGATTTAGATTCTTGTGCTGGTAGCATCGCTTAACGATGTCACAGTGTAAGCAGAGTGCTAGTGAATTCATCCAAAGCACGTTCTGCCCCCATATTGCGATTCTCTGCAGCGCAGACGCGCAGCTGCTGTGTCAGAAGAACAACCTGAGTTTTGTTCAATTGATCCAACCTTTCTGTCGCTTGTCGTCGGAAGGTATATATTATTTTCATCAGATTATTGCGTTTGATGATTGTTTATTATGGTGTTACGTTGTTAAGATACTTGACATTTTGATGAATATCAGCAGTTACGGTTGCAATAAATATCACAATACCACCCCCCAAATATTATAAATTTATATAATAAATAACTTGTCATTCTTCTTCTTGTTTGTAACATTCTTCATACTGTGATTAATTAGTTTCCTATTAGGGTTCTGGGACCCCATTTTTATAGGAAAAGGAATAGACCTGCTGCTCCTCTAACAACAAGGAGGCGACAAATTATGGGGTTTTTCCCCTTTAGAGGTGAGTGCATCTGTCTGAGAGGCAAGGAACCAACAGTCTGCATACAGTTAAGCCAGATCTGTTAAGCAGATATAAACAAAAATGCAGGTTTTGGAGACCCACGACATCCTGCCAGAGTTTATTGCTTATGAAAGCAAGCAAAGAAAAAACAGTCACTCGTCTATAAACTTCTTTTAGCTCTCCTTCAAACTTCGTCCCCATATTATGGTGACCAAACAAATACTCTAACAGGGCTTTTGTCTTGTGTAAAATGTGGACTTCCTCCTCCGAACTCATCGGGGCAAAACTAGGATTACTGTCCGTTTACAATTTCGAGAAACGCAACAATACACACGATAATAGTGACATGGCGGGGAGACCATGCGCTCCAACGCAGGTTAGCGAAAGTGTTCTTCCGATTAAACTCACAGCCGGCGTGGATGGGGGGCTAAACTAGATGGCTGGGACTTATGAGCAGCAGCTACTGCCTCTCCTGCAATTACCCATAATTTTTTTGCTCCTGAGTCCCAGCCATCTAGTTTAGCCCCCCCTCCGCTGGGAATACTGTCGGCAGTGAGGCATAGTTGCAGAAACAAGTCCGTAATTAACATATCACTGAAACCCGGTTAGATCATTTGTTTGCCCTCGATAATATTGGCCCGTTATTCTGAGGCGATCCTAGTTTTGCCGTGATTTTGTTCATCAGAGGAAATACGCATTTTACACACGACTAAGGCCCTGTTAGGGTATTTGTTTGGCCGTCATAATATGGGGACGAAGTTTGAAGGAGAGCCCTTCTTTTATTGGAACTGATGACTTTTTCCAAAGAGAAGTGTCATTCCTTGTTAAAGGGAACAACTGTTGTGTGTTAACACAGCAGTTAACTTAAAAGGGAGCAGATGGAAATCAAGAGAGATGTCGGTCAGTTTGGTATCGTGCATGGATAATTTGATTCAGAAGTGATTGATGAAAATGACAGTAGGCCGTGGACAGTCATGATTGTCACATGATACGGACAGCCAGTCAAATGCTTTAACTCTTTGCATTCCAGTCGGTTGTTACTTGAAGCAGGTCTGTTCAGCAAAGTTAACTTAGGGGCCAAAATGTTAAAAATGATTGTCACCGGCTAGAAGTCCGAGCCCCAGCGTAGAAAGAATACAATATTTACAGTACAGTTGGCAATGAGCCACTTGCTAAGATCTTCTGTGTCAGAACTGATTGTACATGAGACACAAGGAGCTGTAAAAAGAATCTGCATTGTTTGTGGCAGCTGCACTAGCCATGTGGCCTAAAATCCTTAGCCCGCACTGCCCTAACAAGCGGTATCTTAAGGTTGGAAACAGTTTTACTTATTTTAATAATATTAGGTAAGGGGGAAGGGTGCACTGGTATCTCCAGAAATAGACTTGGGTTATATGAACTGTTGTTGCATGATAGACTGTTCTGCACGTTTGTTCTCATTATTTGATAACACTAGGGAGTTGCGTGGTCTCGAGGCATGGTGTCTGCCTCCAGTGCTAGAAGTTCGGCTTTAATCTCCGTAAGGGCTGGGATTTCTTTATGTGGACTTGGACTTCTAGTAATTCCCCCTGGTCTCTGGTAGTGAGGTCGGATGCCCGTATGCATTGTTGCACACGTAAAAAAGTCCTTTGGCAGTTGGAAATCGAAAAGAGAAGCCTAACGGCACTGCCCGGGCCAAATTTTCGAATTCAATATTTGCCCAAAGTATTTCAGGATCCTCGCTGGTGCTACAGAGCCTGTGCAATGTGCTGAGCTTCTTTGGACTCAAGACTTGAGTTAGAGGAAGGACGGAGCACTTATGGGGCCTTTGTGCCATGATGTTGGCCCGTAGTTTAAGCTTCAAACCTCAAACCCGATAACACTAAATATTTAATGTCTTTTAAATGAATTTGTTCAGTAATAAATACAATTCCTCTGATTTCTATTTAGTTTTTGTAAAATTAATATATTTACAGTTCACATCCGTGATCCAAACAATGTCACACATTCCATCCACAACCTGCGGATTAGTTCCTGTGACATGGCCGCTCAGCCCCCGCAGCAGAACATCATCAAGAAGCAGCTCAGTGATGCTGTGGCATCCACCTTTGGACACAGCCAGGAACTGGGGGCCAGCAATGTGATAACTGTCGGCAGTTATGATCTGCAGCTGAGCCGTAATGTCATTTAGTCATTTATTTATTCATCAGTTCGCTCATACATTCGTTCATCCATCCGTTCTTAAAATCCTTAAATCTGCTCACCTGTCAGTTTACCCAGTCATTCATTATTTCATTTTACGCATCTATCAATTCACTCATTCATTACCTTATAACACCATCTATCTTCCCAACAAACTAAACCAAAAAAAGGTTTAAAGTCAAGAAGACGACTTCATTGCACTGGGTTTCATCTAAAACGGACTCAGTCTCTCTCCAAGAATGAATAGCCGCCTGTAGAGAGCGCTATGTTGAGCACAAACTCAGTAGCTCCAGCAATGATTCCCAGGTATCTCCATAAAAATTTCCCTCGTGAGCTGAAGTTGAGCAGCTGTGAAACCAACCCACGACCTTCAGAGTGCGAGGCAAACGGCTTTGACACGGACACCCCTAGACCATGGGACAGCAGGTTTTTTTATAACCTCCGGCTGCCCCAGTTTTATTCTGTGGTTGAAGGAGATTTCTGGGATTTGTACCCGTTGGATTTACGTTAGAAAAGTGGCCCTTTGAGTCACAGGATGTCAATATTTCAGGCTGCAGTTCCGGAGGGAACAAGGAAAAAAGATATAAGGTGATGTCATCATCCTCAGTCAGCAAGTTCTTTGCAGAACATTGCTCTTGTCACAACGCACCAGTCTCTCTCTCTCTCTCTCTCTCTCTCTCTCTCTCTCTCTCTCTCTCTCTCTCTCTCTCTCTCTCTCTCTCTCTCTCTCTCTCTCTCTCTCTCTCTCTAGCCAGTTATTCAGCCCTGTGTACTTTCACAGCCAGTGCATTATCAGTGACGCATATCCACTTTTGTGGAGGTTGACCTCTGCCTTGATTTCTGGAAACTGTGCCCTCCCCCACTTTTCTCTCCAAGCCAACTTGGCGTTTAACATGGCTAAAATACGCCAGCTTTCAAGGCAGGATGCTGTTTGAGCCTATTCGTCTAAATGCTGAGATCATGACCCCCCCCCCCCCCCCCCCCCCCCCCCATTGATTAAGTCGGACTCACATGCCACAGGAAAGATGCACGATCTGTAAACTTTAACTCGCTTGCAGGTGCTGAAAAGGGTGGTGTGTAATGATAAAATTGCATTGTTTTCGTTTAGTTTATATTGTCTGTCCACAAATTGGTGAAAATAGGAGTGACTGCAGTCAAGCTACTACTTAGGAATTCTAGTTGACTGTGACTAAAAAGCTTAACAAAATGGGGAGGCAGAAAAACTTTCTTAGCATGAAATGTGTAGTTCATTTCATGTCGAGAAAGGCCACTGCCGAAACGTCGATCTATGTTGTTTTGTGCATGTTTTTCTGCCTCCCCATATCGTTAAGCTTTTTAGTCATAGTTCACTGGAATTCCTTATCTATCCACAGCATCCACTCCCTGGTTCGAATCTTGGAGAGAAGCTTTCCTGCAGGTGCTGCCCCCTTCTGACCACGAGTACTTGAACCATTGCCTGGCTTGTATCCTTACATTGATTTGAAAAACTGAAAGGGTTTAAGGCAGGGCTATTCAGCTAAGTTTACTCAGGAGCCAACATTTTGAAAATGGGGATCGTCAGGGGTCCAGCAAAGAAAAACCATGAATACATTTCAAATGGTAATAATCGGCGGAACACTTGCTAGGTCTTCGCAGGCCAGATTTGGTCCGCTGGCAGCCAGTTAAATAGCCCTAAGGGCTAGAGGATCTTCTTCATAGCACAGGTTTAAAAAAAAAAAATCATATTTGACTTGATCTCCATCAGCAGAATGACTAGCCACCTGCTGGTAGTGTCACTCAAAGCACAAACTTCATATCTCTAGTGACAATCCCCGGCGATCTCCAGAAAGATGCACTCTGATGAATATACTGGGGGGGGGGGGAAGCTCTGAGTATTTATGGATTAAATGGTTCATATGTAGTGAACATCATTCATCAGCTAACCCTCCTCTGTGTGTTAGTTTAGAGAATAGGGACAAGAGAGATGTGTTATTTTTGTCCTCGATTTGTCTGTTAAAACACCTCTCATGGAAATTGATGACATTTAACCCTGTCACCCAAGGAGCGCTAAAAATAGGTGATGAATCCGTGGGAATCCATAAACAAATTTTTTTTTTTTAAACCACAAAAGTGACTATTCTTCATAATTTGTTTATGGAATCTTCAGCAGCAGCAGCATCCCGAGCCCATGAGGTTTATTGCTGCAGATATCAGCCGCCTCCACTCATCTATCTGGTTGGCCTTTTTTTTCCCAGTTGGTAACACAAAAGTGTTTGCAGGTCTCTCTGGACATTATTTCTTCATAGTTTTCTTGGTCTGTCTCGTGGTCTATGACCATTCATCTCCCTTGTGTATACAGTTTTTACGTCTCTGCCATCTGACATTCTATCAATATGTCCCAACCATTTCAGTCTATTAGCTCTCATGATGCCAGTGATCAGTGGTGATTTTAAACAGATTATGAATTTCGTTGTTGCTTGAGAGTTTATTCCCCGATGTTTACATCTTTGATAGGTCCAAAAATTTGTTGTAATACTCTGTTTTCAAAAACCTTTAATAAGCCTTCATCTCTTTTAGTTTTATTATTTGTTTAGGGAATGGTTTCTGTAAATGGAATACACTCCCCAGGACCTAACAAAACATGTTCTGGGTGACTATTGCTGTGACCACTCAAAGAGGCTACACAAAAGTGTGACATTAACATGGCTTTAAGAAAAAAATTATTTGCAGTTTTAAGTAAATATATTATCCTGACCTCCAAACCACTGCAGGCGTAGACACTGCCAAACACTTTAACTATACATCTCATAAACATGTCACCTAGAGAAGTCGGTAAAGCAACTTTTACAGGGATTTGGAAGTGTTGCTTTTATGGTTTCTTGCAATAACAGAGCTAATGTTCACTTCAAGGAAAACCGTTAAATTGTGCATCTTCTGTCTGCTGGTACAGTCACAATTGAAACTTTGTGCTGGCTGCTGAAGAGGAGGACTGAGCATGTATGCACCTCATACAGCAGTGCTGATTTGATATCATGCTTAAGTATTTTAAGTTTATTGCTAGGTGGTGGGGATCAGCTTTCTGAAGAAGGCTGTGGGAGTGACCAGACGCGTTGAAATCGAGAATGATAAGAGAAAGGGTTGTAAAACCGGTAATTAACTATATACATCATCATCATCGTCTTTGTGTTTGGTTTCAAATGCTCAGATCAGATTGTCAGGTTGTTGCCTCTATGAATGTGCATGTCATTTGCAGGGTCCTTTGTGCTTCCCCATAGCTTGCTGTGCACACATTGCTCTCGAGGCCAGGTTTCTTCGTAGTTGTAAGTGAAGTGGGCCGACCTGCAGAATGTGCTCAGGTGTTTGTGGTCCTGTCTGGCGTGCACACTGTGGGGACTGTACAGTCTTTATTTTTGCATGTGGTAGTTGAGCCTGCAGTGTCCTTTTGTTGGACGGAAAATTGTTGTAATTTTTCTCTTGTCTGCTGATAGGGTTTTGTGGATATTTACTGTTGGTTTGTTGTCTCCACATTTCCTTGCAGTTTTTCTTGATAAGTGATCTGAATTATCTACAAAGACAATAGATAAAATGGTTTATCCACATGGAGAGAATGCCTTTGTGGTGCTAATCCATAGAGACATTTGCTTATTAGGAGAGGGACATAGTGCCTAAGGGGGGGGCCATGAATTTGGTTGAACTAAAACTATCAATATTGACATCAGCCAGAAGCGCAAAAATGGGAACCCCGTGTATTCAACACTCAGTGGTAAAATAGGAAGTGAAGAATGGGAGGAACACTAGGTTTAATTTTTATTCTAGTGCCTTGAGACCTCCTCTTGTCTTTTGTTTAGTCAAAAATTGACATCCTATCTTTTAGAACATTCCCATACATGTCTGTAACCACAATTTTCATTTTCTGAAAGAAAGACTAACTGTACACCTCTTAAGAATTATACAGTCACGCAATATTTGTGTTACTGAAATGTAAATTCATCATTTAAAAAACCCAGAGCCAATTGGTGAATTTCAGTATGATGTTTGTAATCAGCCTGTCCAAGTAGTAAGAAATGGAATATTTAAATTCTAATACAGATAAGTTTTGAAAAGTGTTGTCTAATGACTAATGCTATATTTCCTTCCATCTTGCCTTTCCTCTTTGCTTTTTATATTTGTTTTTATATCTGTGTCTGTTGCCTTATTTTATCTACATAAATTTGGCATCTGAGGACCAGAAAAAAATTCCTTGACACTTTGAAGGTATTTTTGTGGTTGCTTCTAACAACGGAGATCCGTTGAGCACTTTTACATCTCTGGCCAACCAGCAAGTGAGCCAGCAGCAGCAGTTTCCAAACAGATTGCCACGTTGGTTTACTCAGGGCATATTACATTACTATGTACTTTTGCACGATGTTGTGGATGGCGAACAGACCAGGTAAGTGCACCATGTGGCTGGGGTTTGGATGTTTTTTTTTTTTAATTGCTTTTTCCCATATGAGTTCTAGAGCCCCACATTTTAGAGATTTATTGGGGGTAAAGAGAAAAAAAGGGGGGGGGGGGGTTGATATGTATGTCATAAAAGGCGAATAATTTAGGTTTTGCTGAAGCTGGATGTGTTGACCTGAAAGATACACTCTAGCTGTAAACTACAATACAGCATGCAACAGCCTTTTTAAAGGTGAACCTGCGTGGATTTTTATCGTGGTATGGGACGTCGTAGGTCGACTCAGCCTCAATTGGGTACCAGGATGGGCTGTCCTGGGAAAGTAAAGACCCACCGAGTGCCGATTGGTCTGTAAAAATATGGGTGCTCTTCCCATATGCCCGATGCGCCTAAAGGCGTGTAAAGGGATCTTTACTTTACTTTACTTACAAGAAGAATTGCCCTTGTGTTTAATTGGCCAGTCTTGTTACTTTCGCTATTTTATAATCACCTTTCATGTGGTTAGTTAACAAAATTGTTATTCTTACTTTTTTTTTCTTAGAGTTCACCGGATGTAAACTTCTGGTTGAAAGTTCTGGTTGTTTGTCCACTTCTGGACATTGGTCTTGTTGCAGAACTGGAGTTTTACGTGTACATACGTTCTCCAGATCTAGCTTTTTAAAAAAAAAAAGCAGACTGTTGATTCCTCGCCTTTCAGGTAGATGCGCTCCGACTTTAAAGGAAACGCCCTAATTAGTCGCTTGTTTGTTTGGGGGCAGTTGGTCTATTTTTTTCCCCAAAATGGAGCCCACGTGGGGAATTCTTTGTTTTATATTTGCTATTTATATGTGCATTATTTAAAAATTTTTCTTACCATTTTATAATCACATTTCATATATAAAGTTACTGATGTGTTATTCTTATGTTTGTAATCATCTGTCATGTGTATAGTTACTAAACTTGGTGTTCTTACTATTTTATCATCACATTTTGTGTGTATAGTTATCAAACTTATTATACTTTGTTTTTTGTTTGTTGCTTTCATGTGTATAGTTACTAAACTGTTATTCAGTTTCTGTCTTTCACTTAAATAATTACATGACTTGTTATTCGTGCGTTTTTAAGCCATTGTTCTTATGAGACTTGGAAGTCTTGCTGTTTCTTTTACCCTTCGTGTGCATAACTGAGGTACTTTCTTATTAGCTGACCACAAATGGGGGAAATTCACAGGTCATGGGACAGTCAAATATTTCAGGGGTTGGTATATTAAACGTACAGTTTTGGTTAGGGTAAGGTTAATGCACGAAAACCTTGGCCTTGGGAGAAACACGCAAAAGCACAAACCACAGAAAACCCGCTCTTACCACCCTCTAAAATATGGACTGTCCAGTGGGGTTGGCTAATGTAATGTTGTGAATTCCCGGGAAAATCCCAGAGAGTTCCCGATTGGGAGACAAGGTCAGAAGACCAGTAAAACAAGAGGAAAATGAGATAAGCAGGTCTCAAGTATCCCGTGGTGAGTGAATTAGGGATACGATGAAAGCCTGAGACTGGAACAGAAGATGTGAACCCAGAGAGGGTAGGAAGGCAGTTGAAGTTCAGACCTGGATGTGCGGTCATGTGCGAGAGAACAGCTGAGGAGAATGGAGAACGTATGACCACGTGTACTTTTTCGAGAGCAGAAATGAATGTTTCCTGATTGCCAGTTTCATCCTGTACAAATACCAGGTACAATACGTTAGTATGATACAGATGTATGATCTTAAAGATATGAGCGGAGAGAATCACCATGTGAGATAGTTGGCAAGGTCGTCAGGAATCAGCCATGCATAGCGACCACAAGAATGCAAGGAGCGCATATTCGGTGAGATTGTGGTAACAGCGAATAAAGATCAACTACTGAACGCTCGTTACCTGGTGTGTTCAAGCAACTGTGTGTACGTCAATACAGCAATGTGAAAAATTGAATCAAACCCCTAACAGAGCACATTGCAGCTTTTTTTTTTTGTTTTGTTTTTTGTTCTTCCTACTGCTCGTGTATTGCTGTCTTCCTTTTCACTTGCTTTGATTTGCTTAGATCAGTGGTTCTCAACCTGTAGGTCATGACCCTTTCACGGGGGTCACCTAAGACCATCGGAAAACACATTAATTTTTATTATTGAAGTTTTGAAGTAGCAACGATACTATGGTTGGGGGAACGCTACAACACGAGGAACTGTATTAAAGGGTCGCAGCATTAGGAAGGTTGAGAACCACTGGCTTAGATTAAAACATTTTTTGACAGATCTTTCTCTTTCCAAATCTGACTCAGGGCTGAGGCTGTTTACCAGAGCATGAAGGCCACGTTTGGGGTTCAGATCTGCCATCTGCTGCAGATTAACTCTCGATCGTTGAACACACTGGAGTCTGTCAAAGCTGGCATTCCAGTTCAGCCAGACCCTTGGAGTCAGTTTCTGGCTAAGCAGTCACATACTTTGGTGATTATCTTTTTAATTTGTTTAAATTTTAATTCCCAAGTTGAAAAATTGATTTCTGGAAACACATAAGAGTCTTAGACGTCTTAACAGTCACCCGAGAGGCTGCAGTCTCATCATTTCCTGTTGGGACCGATTACCTGTAGGTGTTGTTGACTTGTTTGTGTTTTTGGGGGCTGCATGGTCTCAAGGCGTGGTGTCCGCCTCTAGTGCTAGAGGTTCTGGGTTCAGTCACCGGGCTGGGATTTTTTTTACATGGACTTGGACTTCTTGTAATTCCCTCTGTTCTCTTGGTAGTGAGATCGGATGCCCGTGTGCAATGTTGCGCACTTAAAAAATCTCTTGGCAGTTGGAAATCAAAAAGAGTAGCCTAACAGCACTGCCCAGGCAAAATTGTGATTTAAAAATCTACCCAAAGTATTTCAGGATCCTCGTAGGTGCTACAGAGCCTGTGCACTGTGCTGAGCTTCTGCGGACTCTGACTTAAGTTAGAAGAAGAACAGAGCACTTATGGGTTACTACCTGTGTGCCATTATGTTGATCCGTTGTTCAAACCTCAAACCTTTAGAATCTTGTTTATGATCTGCACAACTAACAGCACTGGTGCTGTTCTTTGCATAAGCAAACAAATAGAAGAACTAGTATCATATATATTTAATATAAATATAATTTAAGAGGTTTCCTTGTAAACAGATGAATTTTAAAATAGAAATTCTGTTTTGTTTTCCCCCTTTGGCCACAGGCTGACTACTCTCAGGGCCAAGTATATAAAAATATGTTTTTAAACGCATGGATATGTATCCCAGTTAATTCTCTACTGCTTTCATTATTAATAATTACTGTGCTTAATTCAATGACATGTTTTTTGTTGGGGGGGGGGGGGGGATGGGGGGGTGTCTGTAAATTTGTTGTTGTTGCAGTTTTCTCGTGTGACATGTTTTTAAGGTTATTTTTGTGGGGGGGGGGGGGGGGGGGGCTCAGATTAACACAACATGGGACTTTGGCAAAGTATTTTCTAGGTCACCGGGGTTAAAGGATTGAAGATATCAGAAGGTGAAGACTGTTGTGGCTTTGAAGCAGTGTAAGCAGAGTAGCTAGCATACTTAACTGCTGGCTGAGTGGTCATGTCTTTGAATTTACTCTCTCCATGTGGGTTCCTGGCACCAGTGTGGGGAAAACAAGAGCAGACCCACTGCCTCCCCAACAGACATGTTGTTCTCATTCTCTTGCCCATGTAAATTTTGTCTGCTTCTATTCCTGTCACCCTGTTTGTTCCAGAACAAAGACATTCTAGTTGTATTATTATCAGCCTTGCCGTTTAGTAATCAGACATGTTTGCTGATTATCTCAACACATCAGGATACCTTTGAGACTGACCACCCGGCAGTGATGGATGACATCTCAGGATTCCCGACCAACTTCTCCGAGAGCAACCCAGAACCAGTGCTCCACAGTGTCATGAGCAACTCATTTTATGATAATGAGATGGATGAGTCAGGTATGTTTATGGGCACCTCTAGTACGAATTTAGCATAGTAATGATCGGAAATTGAACAGCCTTAAAAGTCTATGGTTAAGCACCAGCAAGGAGATAACAATTAGAATTTAGAGAGCATGCATCTTCCCTGTGGCTACATACGGATGTGAGTCGTGGACTATCTCTCAGAGATAGAGAATTGGGGCTTTTGAGCTGAAATGCTATAGAAAGATTCTCAGAATATCTTGGACAAAGAAGATGAGAAATATTGACATCTTAAAAGATCTAAACATTAAGGAAGATTGGCTAATAAACACCACCCTTTCTCAAAATCTGAAATATTTTGGTCATGTCAAGCGCCACGACGTATTGGAAAAAATTATAGCAGAAGGCATTGTACCAGGAAGGAGGGGCAGGGGCCGACCGACACGAAGATGCGCACAGGATATAGGTGACTCCTTGAGTGTGAAAGTTCATGAGGCGGGAGAACTAGCAAGAGACCGAGTCTCTTTCAGGCAGACTGTGATGAGAGCGACGTTCTGCAAAGGACCTGCTACATGATGATGATGAATGATCGGAAAGAGTACATAAATAAAAATTGGGTCCTTGTATGTATTCCAACTGTTTTCCCATTTTGGAAGAAAAATTTAATGGCTCCCCTTCCCCAGCAAGTGCCGTAGAAGGTGTTTGAACTTTTTTGCTTTTGCTCAAGAAAGAGCAGATCAAGTGGTTCGGCCATCTGGTTAGAATGCATAGAGATCAGAAACCATCAGATGCACTACATCTCACAAGATCAGCTACAAGAGCAAGAGGACAACCGCAAAACTACGGATCAACAACATTAAAGCCACTCTATGCCTTCAAGGCTTGGCAATAGCCAGTGGCAACCAGCGTGCACTGGACTGCAAATTATTCTTTCCCAGACGCTTAACGGCAGAAGTGGTTTATGATGATGATGATAATGGAGCTTTTGCTAAAATTGGATATGTGGGGTTGAAAAGATGCCGATATCACAGCCTCACTATAAACCACAGCACAATGTGCCAATCACCCTTTTGGGGGCGAACACAAAAGAAGAAGAAGAATGAATTCGGAATACAGTTTTATTAATTAGGTGTATACAGTCATTAGTGGTTGAATGAATGAATGTGTATCGACAGACCCATGATAGCCACACCTTGTTGCTTTAAAAACACCCTGTATTGAATCCCTACCCTTATATATGGTGTTTGATCTATGTTCGATAAATGTGAAACATTACAATAGTCAAACATGCACACAAAGTCAAAGAAAGGTTTGGTATGTAAATAATTTCAGCATTATTATAAATGGAAATGGCTTGGCCACGTTATGAGAAAGAATCCTGAAATACCTGCCAAAACAACTCTTACATGGATACCAGAGGGAAAGAGAAAAAGGGGGCCCAAAAACAATGTGGAGACGTATGATGGAAAGCTACCTGGGCACAGCATCTCTAACATGGAAAACTGCACTGAAGATTGCACAGGACAGGAAAGCATGGAAAGTCCTCTCTGAAGCCTCATGTGCAACTAGACATAAAGAAAATTGATGATGATGATATATGATTATATAAGTAATTTAATGAATTAAACATACAGTAGTATTGTTCAAGGAGTCATAAAAAATCTTTTGTTTTTTTTTAATTTTTAAAAAATGTGATCATTTGTTCTGTTACTTAAAACTTACAATTTTTCACAGAAGTTTTGTTTTAAACTGAAGGAAAGTGATCTATCATTAAACATAGTCAGGGCAGAGAATTAAGTAAAATATTTTCTTGGGTAAAAAAAAATAATTTTGTTGGCATGCGTTTTTGATCAATTGTGTGTACACATATGATTGGATTCATTGTTTTTGGGGGTAATGTGGGTAAAATAAGATAGTATGTTACATTATTTAATTGAACATATTGAATTAATAATGCTTTTTAGTGTGGTAGTTTGTAGCATAAGTACAAGTAAGGCATTAGTAGAGTGTATAATTTAGTAAGTGAAGTACAGATTCCTTTCCACGCCTGTAATCGCATCGGGCATATGGGAAGAGCACCTATGTTTTTTACAGACCAATCGGCACGAGGTGCGTAGTGTGGTCAGCATTACGCCTGCTGTCTTTTCCCAGGACATACATCCTGGTACCTATTTTAGGCTGGGTCGACCTGCGATGCCCCATACCATGATAAAAATCCATTCAGCCAGCAGTGGGTTTCGATTGCTGTATGTTGGAATCACGAGTTGGACTCGCAACGCCTAAACCACGGACACCACTGTATAATTTAGTACTTGATTAAATTTATTTTGTTCATTGTTAGATTAGATTAGTATATTGGTTAAGTGGTTTCATACTATACAGTTAAATTATCTGGGTGTAACCAAAGGGTCTGGCCGGCTCACTACACTCAGAGGAAAGGCAAGACGGACATATAACCAGATTGTGACCGGAACCATCAGTATTGTAATTCTGCGCTGGCTGCTGAAGATAAAGCATGCATGGGAATGCCCCGAGTGCTGAGATGTCATTTCTTAACTCAACTTAACTTAGTTATAAAAGTGGCGTTAAGCAAAAAAATAATATTGAAATAATTCCTGTGTTTATAAATAACAAAAATAATCACATTAAAATAATAGTGTTTGTAAAGCACTTATTAAAATATCATTTGTAATGTTTGTATAGCAAGTATGTAAATTATATTGCTGATAATTGAATAAGCTGTGTAATCAAAACATTTGTCTTAAAGGGAGCCTTTTTTGCCAGTAGCGCATTGGGCATTGGATGCTGGATTAATTTTCCTTTAAATAGGCAATTGGCCCTCAATGGATGACTGCTTTTACTTCCCAGAACTTTACCCTGGTAACCATTTTAGACTGGGTTAGCATGGGAGACAGGTCATAAAAAAATGTATCTGACACGGATTGGATATGAACCCATGACCTTTGGGCTGACAGGCAAGCATTTAGTCGCCGTGCTGCTGCAGCTTCCATAATAAAAACATAAATATTCATAATGTTAATGTGGCAAATATTTAAATCACGATACAGCTGTGTATTGTTTTGTCCATCGTATTAAAAAATTTTTTTATTATGCTTTGCCCTTTTCTGAAGCATATCATAAAAGTAAATTAATACTGTATTTGATTGGTTGAAAAGTAAATGCCTTTACTTAATTAGATATCAGATTAATTGATCTTAAAATGAATGCTGAATATCGTGGGGCAACTTGTTGGCAGTGAAGTTGAAACCTCTGCTTCTACTGCTACTAAATACTACTACTACTGCTACAATTTCTAGTACTGCTTACTTCTACTACTACTTATGAATACTGCTATTTACCACTGCTGCAACTTCTACTTACTGCCACTACTGTTTGTAGTTACTATGCTACTGCTACTTACTACCGCTGCTACTACTCACTATTTACTACTACTACTGCTTGTAGTTAACTATGCTACTGTTAATTACTACTAATGCTACTACTTACTAATACTACTACTTACTACTACTACTATTGTTACTACTATTTACTACTACTACTACTATTGCTATTACTACTATTGCTACTACTATTTACTATTACTTACTACTACTGCTACTATGCATTACTTATACAACTATTTACTACTACTAGTACTGCTTGTTCTTACAAATACTTGTGCTACTAACTACTACTCACTACTGCTGCTACTTACTACTATTGCTACTACTTACTACTATTGCTACTACTTACTACTATTGCTACTACTTACTACTATTGCTACTACTTACTACTATTACTACTACTATTACTACTACTACTTGTTCTTACTACTACTTCTGCTACCTACTACTTACTACTACTACTTGTTCTTACTACTTCTGCTACTCACTACTTACTACTACTACTGCTTGTTCTTACTACTACTTCTGCTACCTACTACTGCTCACTACCAACTACTACTACTCACTACTACTGCTTCTTACTACTGTTGCTACTACTTACTACTAGTACTACTTCTACTACTTACTACTACTTATTCTATTATTTTTGCTACCTACTACTTACTACAACTCTCTACTTACTACTGCTTCGGCTTGTTCTTACTACTACTTCTGCTACTTATTACTACTCACTACCTACTACTACTCACTACTACTACAACTTACTACTGCTGTTGCTAATATTCACTACTTACTACTACTACTACTTACTAGTACTACTACTTACTACTACTACTTACAACTTACTACTACTGTTGCTAATATTCACTGCTTACTACTACGATTGCTCGTACAACTTACTATTACTATTGCTACTACTCACAACTTACTACTACTACTACTGCTACTACTAACTACTACTGCTACTACTAACTACTACTGCTACTACTAACTACTACTGCTACTACTAACTACTACTGCTACTACTAACTACTACTGCTACTACTAACTACTACTACTTACACTACTTACTACTACTACTGCTACTACTTACTACTGCTACTGCTTACTACTACTACTACTACTACTTATTACTACTACTACTTATTACTACTACTACTTACTACTGATACTACTTACTACTGATACTACTTACTACTACTACTACTTACTACTACTACTACTTACTACTGATACTACTTATTACTACTTACTACTGATACTACTTATTACTACTTACTACTGATACTACTTATTACTACTTACTACTACTACTTACTACTACTGCTTACTACTACTATTGCTACTATTACTTACTACTACTACTATTGCTACTACTACCTACTACTACTACTGCTACCACTCCCTACTTCTACTACTGCTACTACTTACTACTAACTACGATTGCTACTACTACTTACTACTACTGCTACTACTTACTACAGCTTTTGCTACTACTTACTACAGCTTTTGCTATTACTCACTACTTACTACTACTAATGCTACTACTTACTACTACTAATGCTACTACTTACTACTACTTACTTCTACTACTGCTGCTACTATTTACTACCACAACTACTGCTGCTGAATATAAGAGCATTGAGTGTCATTTGAACATTACATGCCATTAGATTTCAAAGCATATTAGATCTCAAGTAGTGGATGTTAATGGGGAATGGAATCCATTAGGGCTTTTTCCATCATTAGACTTCTAATAGGAATACCACAGCAGTTGCAATACCTTACCTGTTTGATTTTACACATCCCTTCATTCACCCGTTTTATTCCTAGGGTCATCAGGCATAACTTCATCCTCCTCCTGTGATCAGTTCAGCCACCCCCTTGCCTCACCAACTACCCCGCCCAGCCGGAACACACCCTCCCCAGACAGTGACCCCACAGCTGCGGCCAGCGGATATCCAGGTGAGTAAAAAAAAAAAATTATCCTTTTCCACACCTGGTGTGTTTTTTATTACCTCCCTTGTGTATGTGTATCATTACCTCCCTTGTGTACGTGCCTAATAGCACTACACTGGTAGTTTCAATGCTGAATCCTTGTTTAAAGAAAGTCATGTTTGAACATTGGGTGGCAACAGGAAATCGTGTAGTCGCATGAAAAGTGAGACTTCCTTGTGGCCTTTTTTAGAATAGTTCCCGTGTGGGTTCTGGGCCCCATTTTGGGGTATAGGCTTACAAATTTCTAGTAAGAAGCATGTTGTAAAAATTAATTCCTTCGAAGTTGGAGGGCATCCACCTAAGAAGTAAGGAACCAGCAGTCTTTACAAACTGGCCACTTACAAACTGGTCATATCTGTAGAACAGATGTGCATGCAAAACTCAAGTTCTGAAACTAGACTAAACTAAAGTTCAGAAGTGGACGAACTACCAGAACTCTCCACTGTAGCTTACAGCCAGTGAGCGTGAAAAAGATCTTGTGGGTAGGAATTCACATGTGTGCCCTTGGCATAATGTAGTACGCAGCCCTGAAAATGCATTTGGGCAAACATCATCAGAAATGAAGTTGGGTGAGTTTGTCATGGTGCTAACGATTCTTTTATCAGTTGTTTTAAACCCTTTGTTGTTGTTAGTTATGGAAAGTTTTGTCTTTTATGTAACCTGCTGTAACATATACCTTCTGTCTTGTAATTTTAACAACTCTTTCTGTACCATAAGTAAGGATGTGTACAAGAATTCTTTTATTGCATATTGCCATGAAAATGCTAACCAATTTCTGCTTTGTAGGAGTGAAAAATGAATGAAAGATACCCCCTGTAGATTTATTTAGTATACGCTGATTAAAACTTAAATATTATTTTTTGCATCTCAGAATACTTAGCCACTTAAAAAAGATATTAATAAAATAATGGTTAATTTGATTGCTTTTCTGTGCAGGTGAGAGTCGGCGGCCATCATCTGGTCGATACAGGAGCACAGATCGCAACCAGAACAAGCCTCATGGAATGTGTCTGACACCCAGTGACCTGGACCGCCTGAGGATCTTCATGCATGAGTTTGTGGTTCGGGCTCTTATCCCATGGGCAGAGAGGCAGATGAAGCACTTGAACGAACAAGTAAGCAATAGTTTACAGTGCACTATGTTAGTTTTCTTCTCTTCAACCTTCTTCTACTCCATCTCCTTCTGCAACCTTCTTCTACTCCATCTCCTTCTGCAACCTTCTTCTTCTACTCCATCTACTTCTTCAACCTTCTTCTACTCCATCTCCTTCTGCAACCTTCTTCTACTCCATCTCCTTCTGCAACCTTCTTCTTCTACTCCATCTACTTCTTCAACCTTCTTCTACTCCATCTCCTTCTGCAACCTTCTTCTACTCCATCTACTTCTGCAACCTTCTTCTACTCAATCTCCTTCTTCAACCTTCTTCTACTCCATCTCCTTCTGCAACCTTCTTCTTCTACTCAATCTCCTTCTTCAACCTTCTTCTACTCCATCTCCTTCTGCAACCTTCTTCTTCTACTCCATCTCCTTCTTCAACCTTCTTCTACTCCATCTCCTTCTGCATCCTTCTTCTACTCCATCTCCTTCTGCAACCTTCTTCTATTCCATCTCCTTCTGCAACCTTCTTCTACTCCATCTCCTTTTGCAACCTTCTTCTTCTACTCCATCTACTTCTTCAACCTTCTTCTACTCCATCTACTTCTGCAACCTTTTTCTACTCCATCTCCTTCTGCAACCTTCTTCTATTCCATCTCCTTCTGCAACCTTCTTCTATTCCATCTACTTCTGCAACCTTCTTCTACTCCATCTCCTTCTGCAACCTTCTTCTATTCCATCTACTTCTGCAACCTTCTTCTACTCCATCTCCTTCTGCAACCTTCTTCTATTCCATCTCCTTCTGCAACCTTCTTCTATTCCATCTCCTTCTGCAACCTTCTTCTATTCCATCTACTTCTGCAACCTTCTTCTACTCCATCTCCTTCTGAACTCTTTTTAACCCTAGACAGACATTTCTGTTCTTGTTCTTATGCCTCACCTTCAATGGGTGGTTGACAAGCTGTGTTGTGGTTTCAAGCTAGGTTGGGATGTCTGTCTCTCATGGCTTAACCTTCTATCTCTTCAACTGCTAATCTTTCCAGTGTCTGGATGGAATTTCTGAAGCTGTAAATAATTCATTCAATCAGCAACTCTTTTACAGAACATCACTCTCTTTATGACATGCATGATAGTCTCTCTTTCTCCTGCCCCGTGTGCTTTCATAGCCAATACATCTTCAATGTCCTGGAACCATTTTTGTGAAGGTCGGCCTTTGCCTCATTTTTTTGAAACTGCACCCTCCATCACTGTTCTGTCCAGACCACCATTTCAGTTGACATGGCCAACATGAGAAAAGGAGCTTTCGATACAGGATGCTGTTTATGAGCCAAATCTCTCTCAATGCTCAGGTCATGCAGAATGTCAGCATTTGTTCTTCTTGGTCCAGGATATTCTAAGAAGTTTTCTGTAGCTTACGTAATATGAGGCATACTTAGAAGTTGTAGCCTGGCGAATTGAAAATTAAACTTAGGTCCTGCTGATGTAGATATACAGAAGAAAATTTTCTTTTGGATGAAAACAGGAACAGTGAAATACAGAGGCTGTAAATGGAAAAGGATCTGATTAAAGAAGTTTAAAAAAAAATAGTCCAATTTTTTGTAGACTGCTAATTTAAAAAAAATATTTGTTTAAAATTAAATTTATTACATTTCTTTTTCCAGCTCATCTCCCGAAAAGGCATACACCGATCTTTCTTCAGTGCGACAAAGAAATGGTTTGGCACAAAGCCTTCTGGGCCTGTACCTGCCTCTCAGAACACAACGGTAGTGTAAGTATTCTTCTCTTCTGTTTTGAATATCCACTATCCCTCAGTGACCTTAGCTCTCAGGTCGACCCAGCCTTGAGTGGGTACAGGGCGCAGTCCCAGGAAGTAAAGGCAGCCAGTGTGATGCTGACCACATCACCCATCTTGTGCCGATTAGTCTATAAATTATAGGTCTAGCCCTATATGCCCTAAATACTTAAAGGCGTTAAAAAGGGATCTTCAGTTACTATCCCTCAATGGAGCATAGATCTTTAGCCAACTTGCAGCAAGTTGTCATATTTTGTGTTGCTGTCATGCGCATGTCACCCCATATCCTGCCCTTCTTGTTCACTGCATTTTATGATTCTCTTCTCCATGTGTAATTTGCCTCCCTGTATTTTTGGTTCTCGCTTGGTTTCTATGCAAGGACTTTCTAGTAATTTGATCATCGTCAAGGGCTTTTTCCTTGCGTGTCCTATCCGGTACCAGCATCTGTGTCTCACCCCTGTATTCACTAGAATTTCTTTACTTCCCTCCCGAAGCTTCACATTAGTGATTCTGTCATACTTCTGTTATGCACAGACACCAGTTAATATTTGTAATTATAATTATTAAATAGTCATTCTGTTGAAAATATTGCTTAAATTAAAATTGAGGCTTTTGAACATAAATGTTATGGAACAGTTCTTAGAAAACCATGGGTCAAGAAAGATGAAAATACTATTTTTGAAGGTCTGAACATCATTCATCATGATAATGACATCATCACACACTGTTTGCCAGGTTGTCTAGAAAATGTTGGTCTTTCACCATTGTACAAATGATGGTAAAAGGGTTCTTATAGTTTTTACTGAAAAAAAAAAACAGAAAAAAATTATTGTTTGAAAACTAAAATAGATTGTATGAAATAAATCTTTTGCTGAGTCACTGAAGAAGAAACAAAAACTGGATTAATCATCATCAAGTACCTTGCCAGCTGGTGTAGCCACAGATCTTGGTCCTTTGTTTTCTGGATCAATTCTACTGAGGATATTCCTCCATGCCACTTTCTTAAGCCATCCACCATCAGCTCTGTTGGTCTGCCTCTGCCTCTTCCACCAGTGATCTTTCCAGTCGCCACGATATTTTCCAGTGCTCCTTTTCTCATCACATGACCAAAGAAGGAGTTTGTCTCCTTCTCACTATTGTATATAAAGTTCTACTTTTATTAGACATTTCCAGGCAATCATTGTTAGATATTCTGACAGTCCAAGCTGTTCGCAACATTCTTCTCAAGAACAGCATCTCAGTAACCTCCAAACTCTTCTTAATTTGTTTGCTAAAATTCCAGGATTCACTGCCATACAACAGAACCGGCTCGATATAACATTTCAATACACATTTTCTGATGTTTAATGAGAGTGATTTATTACATAAAATACTTTTCATCTTCTGAAAAGCTGCCTTTGCCTGGTCGATTCTGCTCTTAATTTCTGTCACACATCATCCATCTGTTGTTATGAATGTTCCCAAATACTTGAAATAATTGACTTGGTTAAGCGTCTTCCCTTCTATTGCTATGTCACATTTTGGGATCTTCTTCTTCTTTGACATAACCATTGTTTGTTTCCTTGATTTTTAAGGAAAGTCCCATTTTTGCATTCTCTAGTAGAACGTCTAATAGTTGTTGTCGGTTTTCTGCGTTTTCAGCAATTAATTCTGTTTCATCTACATAACAAAGATTGTTTATATTATAACCTCCAACTAGTATTCCTGGTCTTCTCTTGACCTCCCTCATTATTATTTCACTTTAGAGGGAGAAATCGGATGAAAAACACACCCTAGTCTCACTCCTTGCTTAAAAAAAAAAAACTGGATTAAAGAAGGAAAAAAAACTTGAGCTTTTTAATGGAAAAATTTCAGATGATTATTATACCACAGACAAAGAAGAAGAAAACATTGACATTCTATGTCCCGAAAGCTGGTGTATTTTGGCCATATTAAACGTCACGGTGGCATGGAGGTAACGAGGAAAACAAAAACTAGGCCAACCTGCGTGTGAGGCTGAATATAGGACATTGAAGATTAAAGATGCATTAGCTGTGAAGACACTTAGGGCCGGAGAATGGGCTAGAGGAGACCTTCAGATGTGCAGTGACGAGAGCGACATTCTGTAAAGAACCTGCTGATTGATAATGATATATTAATTACCTCCGTATGTAAACTCGATGATTCAGTGAGCATGATCTGGAGGGTTCAGGCAAGTTCGGTGCAAAGACAATGGATTGAATCATTACAGAAGTCCACTGTGCATGGAGTCACCTTTATTTTTGTTCCAGGATATGCAGGCGTCGATGAAAATGAAAGAGCTGATAGGTTGGCCGGATCCACTATCACTACCGACGGTCAGCCTATGGATCATGCTGATATTATTGTCTTCAGAGAAATGGGAAGGATAGAGGACTTTGGGGGGCAGTGAATCCACATCACTCGCCAGAATGGCAGACTTGGGAATTAAGATCAGCATAGCAAAAAACGAGACGCACACCAGACACACCAGAAGACTTGTTAATCATCGTAGAACTGGTACTGTTGGTCATCGGACGTTGGGGTTCATACTGAGGGGCGAATCTGAGCACCTATGGACAAGTCCTGAGTGCAATGATGATTAACCAACTAACTAACTAATATTAATTATCACAGTTATCTAGGAAGCAGAGTAATTAACAAATGGCCTCTGAAAGAAGAGGCAAGAGTTTGATCAGCTTTGATGCTGGCCACGGGACATTAATGGGTGTCTCAGATGGTGTCTTATGCACCTGAAAGTGGTTGAGGCAGGGGAACTGAAGAGGGGTAGTGAATCTTTTCAGCAAGGACTACCTGATGATGATGGATGGATGGATGGCTTCTTTCTTTCTTTCTTTCTTTCTTTCTTTCTTTCTTTCTTTCTTTCTTTCTTTCTTTCTTTCTTTCTTTCTTTCTTTCTTTCTTTCTTTCTTTCTTTCTTTCTTTCTTTCTTTCTTTCTTTCTTTCTTTCTTTCTTTCTTTCTTTCTTTCTTTCTTTCTTTCTTCCTTCCTTCCTTCCTTCCTTCCTTCCTTCCTTCCTTCCTTCCTTCCTTTTTTCTTTCTTTCTTTCTTTCTTTCTTTCTTTCTTTCTTTCTTTCTTTCTTTCTTTCTTTCTTTCTTTCTTTCTTTCTTTCTTTCTTTCTTTCTTTCTTTCTTTCTTTCTTTCTTTCTTTCTTTCTTTCTTTCTTTCTTTCTTTCTTTCCTTCTTTCCTTCTTTGTTTTCTTTCTTTCTTTCTTTCCTTCCTTCCTTCATATTCTTCTTCACCTTCATCTTTTCATATTCTGCTGCTGCTGCCTTTTACCTCCCATTAGATAATATTGGTGCTTAACCTGTGTGTGCCCTGTTGTTTATAGACATATTCATGTTTGATTACATTTAGCATTTAATTTTCTACTACATGAGGTAACCAGTATCATGCCAACCCTCCCTAATTGCCACTTATGACATGCATGGTTGGTTAAAGCTTTACTATTCTTTGCCTCTCTAATGGTCCCCCGGAACAGACGGGCAAAGTTGGTTACTTGTAATCTAGTAATATTCCTTGTCTCCAACACAGTTACACCAGGGATGCCCCTGAGCTCCAGCTGCGACGTCTGGCAGATCTGGCGTTTCTCTTCCAGATGTATGACTTTGCCTACAACACCTACCACACTGTAAAGAAAGACTTCAACAATGACCAGGCTTGGCTACATTTTGCTGGAGCTTTGGTTAGTGTCCAAGACATTCATTTATCCTGAGTTATGAGTTAGATTATCTGTACAGCACTCAGGACACAGTAACTCTTTGAAAATAGTTTCTTTCGTTCGTTCGTTCCATAGGCACTCAGATTTCCCTCTCAACATATACATCAGCTTCATGGGGTTTATAGTGCCAGTCCTGTGTTGGTTAACAAAACTTTGTTTGCATCTGGTGTGCTTCTCATGCTTGACTGTGCCCAACTTCACTCCCAATTCTTGTATTCTTAGCAGTGATGTGGACACGTTGCTTCCAAAATCCTCAGAACGTCCTATCTCTCTAGGGGCAATGACAATGTCTGTGTGATCATTTATCCTGTTTCTTTATCAGGGATTCAGAAGGAAATTGCCCCCTGGCTCCCAGGTCGACCCAGCATAAAATGAGCACCTAGAAATATCCCAGCAAGTAAAAATTTCATCATCACTGTCCTGTTTTGCTGTTGTATGTCATATAGGGCTCGCAGTCTATTCATCCCTTCTTTTCTATGCTGTGCAGTCCTTTCGACATCATGGATGGAACTCAGTCTATCACCTCTAATCTCTCTTTTTGTTTTAGTTTCTTGAGCTTTCTCCATTCTTTTTGTTTACCGTTGCTTGGTGATTCTCTGCTGTCTTTTCAGGATGTGTCTGGTATAGCACCATATTATTTACCTTATAACTGTTTACCAAGTTGCCCAGACAGGCATCTGTTATCAAATGCAACTTTCCTTCCATGTCTTTAGTGGTTCTTCACTGGCATTTGTTAAAATGTAAACATTAGAATTTAAAATATGAAACTTAAGTCTTAAAACTGTACAATTTTGAGCTCTGTATTTTGCTTGGGCTATTAAAAGGCTGCTGATGTCTTGGAAGTAAATTTGGTTAGCACCATATTTACCACATTGGCCAAGTGTTGTTTGTTCTGCAAAAGTATGGAATTTACACATTGTTTTGCTCAGTTCTGCTAAAGATATGAAAATGAGACTTTGTTCTGTGAAAGTATGGAATTCACACCATATTTTGCTCAGTTTGGCTAAAGATCTGAAAATGAGACTTACTGTGTTCTGTGAAAGTATGGAATTCACACAATATTTTGCTCAGTTCGACTAAAGATTTAGAAATGAGACCTCCTTTGTTCTGTGAAAGTATGGAATTCACACCATATTTTGCTCAAATGAGACTTACTATTTTTGTTACTTTTTCATATAATTCTTCTTCTTAACTTTCATCAGCTGTAAACTCCCAGAGAAAAGTTCTGGTTGTTCGTCCACTTCTGAACTTTAATGTTGCATCCACATCCGTTTTACAGATTTGACTTATTTATATGCAGACCGTGTTGGTTCCATGCCTCTCTGCAGATTTATTTTGAATGTAAAGAAATTGCCCTTGAGCAGTCAGTCACCTCCTACGACATGCTTTTTAGAGAATTAGATTTTTATGGTTCTCAAAAATGGAGGCCCGGAACCCACATAAGGAATTTTTACAATTTTTTTTTTAAAGTTTAGAATTTGGGCAGAACTTGATCTGGCCAAAACTGTGCCTGAAAATCTGCCAAGAAGTAAATTCACTTGGTGTTATATTTGTCACATCTGCAGAATTCTGTTTAGTCTACACAAATATGGAATTTGTGCCATATTTTTTCCGCAGTTTGGTAAAGGTGTAGAAATGAGACCTTGTTTTAAAAAAAAATTGTTGAAAGGTAATTACTATGCAGTTCTGATTTTGTTTCCTTCTTTCCCTATGCTCTGCTTTAGAATGTGTGAGTACACTTGCGCTATAGTTAGCTGCGCATCCCTTCCTGTAGTTCTTTGTCATTGCTTTTAGACAGTCGGCTCTCGATACGACTGTCAAAACCAACGCGGGCACAAGGCTTGCAGCTGGGATTGAACTTGGCTGCCCGGCATTATGAAGCATGTTTGCAATGCCTGAGCCACAGGTGCCAAAACTTGCACTATAGCTTAGTGTAAAATTATTTTACTTTCTTGAAAAGTGATTACATATCAAAATTGTTTCCATTACAGCTGATGTCAGTAATATTATGGGATAGGATTTACTGTAATTTACTACTGATGCTGTTCCATCCAGGTTGTTCCCATATTATTTATTTCTAATTCTCTTGTGTTTTTGGGTCTTCGTCTGCTTCTTTCAACCTTTGGGATCAATTCAAGGGACTGTTTTATTACCCTTAGTCTTTTCTTTCTTTCTGTTATATCTGAGCCATTTTCAGCGCATTAATTGTATGTGTACATGATTTTGATCTGTCTTGATCTGTCTGTTGACTTCATGTTTGTTAATTTTCCACTAATTTTGAGCACTTGACTTCTTTTGACTACTTAGTCGATCCTCTACACCCCATGGTAGAAGAGGATCGACTAAGTAGAGGTTTGCCGTGGGGTGTAGAGGTTTGCCGTGGGGTGTAGAGGTTTGCCGTGGGGGTGTAGAGGTTTGCCAGAGAGATTATCAGGCTTCTCTATCAGCAATTATCCTTTTCTACCATGGGGTGTAGAGGTTTGCCAGAGAAATCATCAGGCTTCTCTATCAGCAATTATCCTCTTCTACCATGGGGTGTAGAGGTTTGCCAGAGAGATCATCAGGCTTCTATATCAACAATTATCCTCTTCTACTGTTGGGTGTAGAGGTTTGCCAGAGATCATCAGGCTTCTCTATCAGTAATTATCCTCTTCTACCATGGGGTGTAGAGGTTTGCGAGATCATCAGGCTTCTCTATCATCAACTATCCTCTTCTTCCATGGGGTGTAGAGGTTTGCCAGAGAGATCATCAGGCTTCTCTATCAGCAATTATCCTTTTCTACTGTGGGGTGTAGAGGTTTGCCAGAAAGATCATCAGGCTTCTCTATCAACAATTATCCTCTTCTACCAAGGGGTGTAGAGGTTTGCCAGAGAGATCATCAGGCTTCTCTATCAGCAATTATACTTTTCTACTGTTGGGTGTAGAGGTTTGCTAGAGAAATCATTAGGCTTCTTTATCAGCAACTATCCTCTTCTACCATGGGGTGTAGAGGTTTGCCAGAGAGATCATCAAGCTTCTCTATCAGCAATTATCCTCTTCTACCATGGGGTGTAGAGGTTTGCCAGAGAGATCATCAAGCTTCTCTATCAGCAATTATCCTCTTCTACCATGGGGTGTAGAGGTTTGCCAGAGAGATCATCAGGCTTCTCTATCAGCAATTATTCTCTTCTACAATGGGGTGTAGAGGTTTGCCAGAGAGATCATCAAGCTTCTCTATCAGCAATTATCCTCTTCTACCATGGGGTGTAGAGGTTTGCCAGAGACATCTTTATGCTTCTCTATCAGCAATTATCCTCTTCTACTATGGGGTGTAGAGATTTTCCAGAGAAATCATCAGGCTTTTCTATCAGCAATTATCTTTTACTGTAGGGTGTAGAGGTTTGCCAGAGAGATCATCAAGCTTCTCTATCAGCAATTATCCTCTTCTACCATAGGCTGTAAAGGTTTGCCAGAGAGATCAGATTTCTCTGTCAGCAATTTTCTTGTTGGCCTTATTTCATTCTAGCCCTCTCTTAGACCTGGGACTGTCAGATGTTGTCTTCCCAGAGAACCCTTGGTGTCCTGGTGGTCTGGTTCCCTGATTCTTGGCCTCAGTCTGACTATAATATTAATATAAAACAAGTATGAGATTATCCTCACGCTTGCCTCACTCTGGACTTTGTCTGTGGGTTTCAGGAGATGGCAAGCTTGGCAGTGTTCCTTCTAGGCCCCCAAAGTCAGAAGCAGTATCCTCACCACTACATGGAAACTGCCATCTCCACGTACCTGACCTCTTGCAGGTAAGTTGCACTGTTAACTAACTCCATATATTGTGTGGATAAGTCCTCTATCTCCATAAAGTAAGTTGTCCATTTATCTACACATACCATCATTCGTAGAGGTAAGTTGTCCATCTATCTATACATGCCTTCATTCGTAGAGGTAAGTTGTCCATCTGTCTATGCATATCGTCATTTGTAGGAGTAAGTTGTCCATCTTTACATACTGTCATTCGTAGGGGTAAGTTGTCTGTCTATCTATGCATACCCTCATTCGTAGAGGTAAGTTGTCCATCTATCTATGCATACCCTCATTCGTAGAGGTAAGTTGTCCATCTGTCTTTGCATACCCTCATTCGTAGAGGTAAGTTGTCCATCTATCTATACATACCCTCATTCGTAGAGGTAAGTTATCCATTTATCTATGCATACCCTCATTCGTAGAGGTAAGTTGTCCATCTATCTATGCATACCCTCATTTGTAGAGGTGAGTTGTCCTATCTGTAATACCCGCTGTGACAGATCTATTTGTCTGGCAGCCCACTGGCCAAAGATGGCTCGCAGATACCCAACAAGAGACCTGCCGATCACCTGCCAGTTTCATGTATTAATAATCTTTCTGTACTCGGACCTCTGGCCCTCGGCTGTCTCCATTTTCCATCATCTTAGCCTCGGAGTTACCTCAGTCGAATGCACCTGCCCTGTGTTAAGGTTTTATTCATTCGTTTGTTAAGAAAAAACTTAAAGTGGACGCTGAAAAGAGCTTTAGTTACAACCGTGGTTCTGGTTTTATTTACGCCATTTTTGTTGGCTTAAATAGTTTGTTGTGCTGGTAATTGTGGCTTATTGTCCCTGTCAGTGTGTGGTGGCGTCCTATCTGGACATGTCTGAGTTCTCTTTGTTGGTCCTGAGGTCACTGGTGAGGGTTCCATTTTGTGAGTCCATCTTCCTGTGTGCCAGGTACGAATGTAATTATGAATGGGTTCTCCTTATATTGGATGCGATGATATTTCCTCTGAGGTTGTCACCTGTTGTCTGCCCTAAAGGCCCTTTATCTTATTTTTTGTGCCTGTCTTCCGTTGATAAGGGTAAATTTACCACCCCTTATCTTGAAGGTAAGTTGTCCTGCTTTGTATACATCCCCCCACCCCCAGAAATATCAGTCATTGTCATATAGGTAGGTTGTCCTGTCTACCCTCCCCCATCATGAAGAAAAGGTATATTGTCCTTAAAAAGTAAACGTATATTGTCCTAAAAAGTAAAGGTGTATTGTCCTAAAAAAAGTATATTGTGCTAAAAAGAAAAGGTATATGGTCCTTAAAAAGTAAAGGTATATTGTCCTAAAAAAGAAAAGGTATATTGTCCTAAAAAGTAAAGTTATATTGTCCTAAAAAGTACAGATGGACATCACAGACCAGTTCTTGTATTTTCTGCTTATTTGTTTTTGCACTAGAAAATTATAGATTCAGAAGTTTGCCATTGCATTCTGAATGGTACAGTGCTCATTCTATACTGAAATCGATGCAGAACAGTCTGTTGTGGAATCACCTGCAGCCAAATCAAACTCATTAAGTTGGAATTGGAAAACTGCATACATAACCCCTTAGCCACAGACATGGCCTGTGTTTTGAAAGACATCACTTGATGCGTGTCATTTGTACTGCTATCTACAGGCCTGTCTAGTCCTTAAAAGTGTTTTATTCATTATCATCATCATCATCATCATTGTCATGTTGTGCCATTATACGTCACATAGGGCTCACATTTCATTTCTCTGTTCCCTTCTTTCCTGTGCAATTTCAATATCATAGATATTATCCAGTCCAGCACCTTTGGCCTCTCTCAACATTCATTTTCAGGTTTCTTTTGCGTGTCTTGCTTCCTCGATTCATTTATTTCCTATGTATGTCCAATAGAGCACCATCTTGTCTTTGATAACAGTTGTTACCACTGGTTGCCTAGACATGTCTCTTATTTCTGTGCCCCCTCTTGAATTCCTCCCATCCTAATGTGATTCCTGGCTGCTAATGATTGCAGGAACCCTCAGTATGCCACTCGGGCGACACTGACCAGCACAGAAGCCCTGAAGAAGAGAGCCATGTACAATGAAGCTGCCATGCAGTTCTTGAAGATGACCAGTGAGGTAAATGATGCTAGATTACATCTTCTCTGAGGATGGCTAGTTGGGGGTGAACCCTTTGTGTGTTTCAGTTGTTAATCCTGCCGCCCAGAGAAAGCTCAAGCCAGTCACTTCCGGTTGTGACATTGTCCCGTCAATGCTGATATATGGCCATGTCTGCGGTAACCTGTTCTTGAAAAGCGTGGTTAAAATCCATTGGCCAAGAAGTGTTTAAAGGCCAGGATAATGATTATATAGTAAATGCAAATAGCAGGGGTGGTGGGGGAAGGGGCCTTATGACCCAAATGCCTTTTTAAAGCCAAGTTAATGTTACATGTGGGGTGGGGTGTCCTTATGACGCCCAATAGCTTTTTGAAAGCCAGGTTAATGTCACATGTGGGGTGGGGGTGACCTTACAACCCCCAATTGCTTTTCAAAAGCCAAGTTAATGTCACATGTGGGGCTGGGGTGACCTTATGATCCCCAATGGCTTTTTGAAAGCCATGTAAATGTCAAATTTGTCACTTAAGCCTGACGGCATGAGTTTCCTAATATTTTTTAAAGGCATTTAATGCTTTTCTTTGCTCATGTTTGATTACCCCTTTTATATATGTTTAAATATTTTGAAATGTTTTTCCCAACTGTAGATAAATTAATTTGCAAAGTTTATTAGTGACCGGTGTAACAGGTTTTTTTTTTTTTAAGAATTGTTTCTGGAAATTTCAATGGGTTCATAACTTTTTTTATTTTTCTTTTTAGTTTTAGTTTTTGCGGAGCATGTGTTTTGAGATCATCTCAAGCCTAAAAAAGGGTTTGCATCTGTCAGAGTGAGGCTTATGTTTGCACCTGATCTGTTCAGATTTTATTTGTAGATTTTCAAGTGGTGATTGATACATGTGAGCATTTATTCATTCTTTACTGCGGTGCAGTGGTTAAGGTACTCAGACATGTTATAATTTGTTAATTCACCATGCTGTGCAATAATTAATGTTAGTAGGCATTTCATAATGTGTTAATTCCGCTGTGCTATGTATAAATATGTATGGAAATTTGCTGGCGGAACAGAAAGCAGCTCATGTATTGGTAGTGACAGACTCACTGAGCATGCTTAAGAAGATTCAAACTGGCAAACTCTGACTACAGTGGGTTGACATCATCCAGAAGTCTGGCCTCAAGAAACTGTCTCTGCTGTACACACTGGGACATGCCAGGGTGAAAGGAAACGAAAGAGCCAGCAGATTAGCCTGTGTCTGCAGTGGTTACTGGAGGAAAAAGAATGGACAGGTCAGACATACTGAATGCATCGAGTTCCAGAGGTGTTCAGATAGTGAAGTCTCAGATGATGAACCGTCTGTTGGAAAAGGGTATTAAACAAGGGCAAGCGGGGCTGCGAAACGATTTGCCAGTCAACTCCTATTGGGTAAGTTGAGCATGAGCATGAAGGCATTGAAATAGCTGCTGCTTCGGAGGACAGAGGATGAAGACACTGAAGTGGCTGCTGCATCGGAGGACAGAGGATGAAGACACTGAAATGGCTGCTGCATCGGAGGACAGAGGATGAAGACACTGAAATGGCTGCTGCATCGGAGGACAGAGGATGAAGACACTGAAATGACTGCTGCATCGGAGGACAGAGGATGAAGATACTGAAATGGCTGCTGCATCGGAGGACAGAGGATGAAGGCATTGAAATGGCTGCTGCATCAGAGGACGAAGACACTGAAATGGCTGCTGCATCGGAGGACAGAGGACGAAGACACTGAAATGGCTGCTGCATCGGAGGACAGAGGATGAAGACACTGAAATGGCTGCTGCATCGGAGGACAGAGGATGAAGGCATTAAAATGGCTGCTTCATCGTCTAACACAGGACGAAGACACTAAAATGGCTGCTGCATCGAAGAAAAGAACACGAATGGATCAAAACTGATGTTCTAGAATGTCAGTACAGACAGAAAATAACAAAGTTTGACATTTCATTATTTATTAATTCCTGGATATTTGACAATAATGAATATACACAAACATTCCAGGATTCTGACTTGACCAGTGCTCTGTTTCTGGAGCAGGCAGCTCACTGCTTTCTGGCACTGAAGACACCCATGGTCAGAAAATACTCGTTTCATATGATTCTGTCTGGGCATCGCTTCAACAAGGCTGGCCAGGTAATGATATTTTTGGTTTATTTAGACTAATTAACTTGTGTGTTTATTGTTGTATTTTTTTTTTAGAGCAGATGTGTAGTTATTTTGTAATTTTTATGTTACAATATCTGTTCTTTGTGTTATACTGTGCATATTTTGAATTTAAGGGTAGGATTGCAAGCATCTCTTCAGAGGTCCCGGGTAGTTAGCATCCTTTGGATATTTTCTCCAGGTCATGCCGGTGTGTCGGGAAATGAGCAGGCAGATAGACTGGCTGGCTCTGCACCACTTGGTGGTGAATTGATGTATGACAAGTTAGATATTGTGAGGGCCCTTTGGAAGTGAGTGAACAGTGTGGAGGTGCAGATAGATCATTAGGTCTAAGGAGAATGGCACTGCAAGGAGCTACCAGGGGATCTAGCTGACGCTGAACACTCAGGGGAAGAATGAGACGGATTTACAATCAGACGGTTACTGGTACCATCGGAATTGGAACTCTTCACTTGCTGCTGAAGATGGAGATTGAGCACTTATGGGAGTGTCCCAAATGCTTTGGTGTCAATTCTCTATTTAACATTCAACAGGGTAGGATTACAGTGTCTCCTGTCAGAGCATAAAACCTAGGCGGCATTGTAGGGACCATGGGTTGCCCATGCAACATAATTCTTCTCTTAGCCAGTATTGAGTCTTCCAAAGGAAAAGTAACACCAACACTTGAAACAGTGTTCCTCAGAAGCTGCTGGGTCAGAAAACCTGTGCTTTGCCTGTCTGAGCTTACTTTGTAGACCAGCTACCAACAGGGCCTAGTTTGCCTTGCCAGATTTTTAGTTCCTCTATAAATTTTTAACCTCTAAGAATGTCTAAAGAGGGTGCTAAAATGTTACATAGAACCTGTTCTGCTGTTTGGCAGTGAATCTTGGAATGTTAGTGAACAAATTAGGAAGAACTGAGATGTGATTTCTGAGACGAATGTTACGAATACATGAATGTTACGAATGCCTTTCATGCCCAGAGTAACTAATAACGATTGCTTGAAAGAAGCTAATGAAAGTAGATCTCTATATATACAACAATAAGAAAGAGACAAACACTGTTCTTTGACCACATAATGAGAAGAGAGATATTGGAGAACATCGTGACGACAGGAAAGATCAGTGGAAGAAGGGATAGAGGCAGACCAAGAGAGATGATGCTGGATGGGCTGAAACGATGGCATGGAGGGAAATCATCAAGAGAGCTGTTTCAGGCAACCAGGGGCTGTATGGCAGCGAATCTTGGAATGTCAATGAACAAATTAAGAAGAATTTGGAAGCAACAGAGATGTGAATTCTGAGACGAATGTTATGAGTACCTTGGACAGCCAGAGTAACTAACAACAATTGCTTGAAAGAAGCTAATGAAAGTAGATCTCTATATACAACAATAAGAAAGAGACAAACACTGTTCTTTGGCCACATAATGAGAAGAGAGACATTGGAGAACATCGTGACGATTGGAAAGATCAGTGGAAGAAGGGGTAGAGGCAGACCAAGAGAGATGATGCTGGATGAGCTGAAATGTTGGCATGAAGGGAAATCATCATGAGCTGTTTGAGGCAACCAGGGATCGTGATCTATGGCGATGCATGAGTGCCAGTTGGCAGGGCACTTGATGATGTGAATATCTTGGGTTGATAGATGAAATAAATGAGGCAGTCTTTCAGGATGCAGATGGAAAAAAAATACAGTGAACCTCGCTTAACAAGCATAATTGGTTCCAGAATCATGCTCGTTAAGCGAAACACTCGTTATGGGAAACAATTGTTCTCATAAAAATTAATGTAAAATACGATAATGCGTTCCATGTCAAAAAAAATACTTACAAAATGCTATTGTAATGTTTATTCAAAGAAAATTATAAACATATTGTTAAGGAGAGTGAATCATCTTCATCTTTTCTTCAAACGCGGAATGAACCCACCTGGAATGCGAATTCGATTTGCAGAAAAAAAGTCGAAATAATTATGATACATAGCTAATTATTTTTTTTTACTAGAAAGATGTCCAGAGACATTTGTTTTTGCTGACGCTTCAAAATTTGGAGAAAATGCTAAACAGCATAAACATTAAATAAATTTGCAACGCGCATAGCCACTTCCTTATCAGGGTGATTCTTCTCAATGTTAGATGCAACAGTTTGCCATGCTTTCAGCCTTTCTCTTATTTCGCCAGAAGATTGTTGCTTTTCTGCTACCTCCTCATCCTCCTAGACAAACTTACCCCCAAAAAACTTCTTGCTGTGACACACAACTCCATTAGCTCTTGGATGGTCAGCTCTTGGCTGTGCTCTTCCACAAGCTCTTCGATATCACTGTTATCCACCTCCAACCCCGTGATAGTGGCCAAAGACACAATCACGTTGACTACAGGTTCCACAGATATTGTCTCGAACCCCCCAATGTCACAAATCGACAACGATCTTCGGCCAAAGCTTCTTCCAAACAGAAGTTAGGGTTCTCTTAGTAACCTCTTCCTTCGCCTTATCGATCATCTTGAGGCAGGCAACGTTGTGGAAATGGTTTTTCCAAAACTCTTTAAGGGTGAGGTTGGTCCCTTCAATCAACTGAAAACAATTCTCAAAGAGTGCTTTAGTGTAGAGCTTCTTAAAGTTAGAAACAACTTGCTGGTCCATTTGCTGGAGTGGTGTTAAGCGGCAGAAACTGGATCTTGATGAACTTAAATTCTTCAGAGAGGTCATCTTGTAGGCCTGGAGGATTGATGTACATATATCACAATATACCACATTTGAGAAAACGTGTGATCACATGCGCACTACGATGTTACTGGAACGAGTGCTAAACACAGACTGATGTAACATGCTCACAATTCGGGACTTTCCCTCTCCTCGCCACTCGTTATGCGAAACGTCACTCGTTAAGCAAGTCATTTTTTTTTACAATTTGTTCTGCTCGTTATGCGAATTACTCGTTATGAGAGGTGCTCGTTAAGCGAGGTTCTACTGTAACTGTAAAATTCTATGAAATGTTCGATGCATAGTGAAGATTTTATGGGCCTATCATGGGGAGATGTAAATTTGATAAACATATGACAACAGGCAAAGCTACCAATGTCCCACAAAACTAACTAGGAAGGCTAAACCGATGAAGTTAGATGTGTTGGCTGACAGGTGCAACTTTTGAAGCTATACACAAACAGGCGCAATGCATTTCCGTAATTTGAACGATGAAGTAGTGTACAGTGCGGACGTTTTCTTGTATGTCTTGATCCTAAATTTTACTTGCTCTGGTTATGCCTGCAGCCTGTCCCAGACATGGTTACTCATTGTTTAATTGTCTGGCACTGATAGCATAGAGTAGGAATGAATTTGGCTATAATTTTTGATTTACTGTGTAACAACTTGACTATTTGCAGAGGAAACACTCCCTTCGCTGTTATACCCAAGCACTGCAGGTGTACAAGGGCAAAAACTGGTCTATTGCAGAGGTCAGTGGAATGTTCTAGAGAAGATCTTGCTGAATAAAAATTTTCATTAGGTGACAGAACTATAGTTTCAAAAGTCATTGCCCAACTTCAAAAAATCTAAAACTCTGTAACTTTTTGGTGTAAAATGTTGAAATTTGGCATACAACCTGTTCATAATCATATCATTTTGATCCCTGCTCGGGTTCCAGGGCTCTATTATAGGGGGAAAATAGAGTAGACCCACCGCCTACCCTAAAGCATGTCGTAAGAGTCGACTAATTGGGAGCTTCCTTCAAAGTCGGAGCGCATCTGAGAGGCAAGGAACCAGCAGTTTGCATACAAATGAATCAGATCTGTAAAACAGATGCACACACAACACTCAGGTTCTGGAACAGGACTGCAGTCCAGAAGTAGATGGAACAATTATAATTTTCTGCCAGAGTTTACAGCTGGTGAACGCGAAGAAGAAGAAGATATCCTTATGAAAAGAATAATTAATCCAGTTTTTGTTTTGCCTTATTTGCGGTGTATGAAAAGACACACTGATTCAAAGCATTAAATTTATAAAGTTATAAGGATATGGGGCATCTAAGAACACATGCAAAAATGTTTGTTGATCCCTACCGGAGTTTTGAAGATATTTGTTAAAATTTGAGGCCATAACCTTTGGAATGGCCTGTACTGTATTATCTTCCTGTGCAATCAATGCATATTTTCTCCGACTTCACATCTTATCTTACTTCTTCACACTGTTACTGGTGCTATTGGAATTTGAACTCTGTGCTTGCTGCTGAAGATGGGAATGGAGCTTTTATGGGAATCCTCTGAGTGCTGTGATGTCGATTCTTAATTCAGCATTTAAAATCTTCCTCCTTGGTTACAGTTCTGGCACCGGTAACAGGTTGTTTGTCGTATTTTAAAATAATGGTATTGCTTATTTTTAAACCTGAATTTTTGTTTTGAATAATTTGCTAATTTTATTCAGCTTTAGAAATTCTTAACATACATAACATAACCCTTGACCCATTAGGTGAATTGATGGAAGCACTAGGACATAAAACCCGCCATATTTCTGTCTTTTTCTTGATGAATAAGTGTATGATAACTTAGTCCTGTCCATTTCTTGATGTCATTCCGGGTTCTTCTTTGCCACCCGTGTTCGACTACCCCCCAATGTTCTTTGATTTGAAGTACAGTTTTTGCAATCGAATCATGTCTCACCATGTGCCCAAACCAAGCTAGCTTGCGACATTTTTCCGCTGCCAAGAGAGGCTCCTGATGTCCCGCAAATTAGTATATTTTCTTAACCTACAGGAATTTTGTGGGCAAATAGAAAAATAGAGTTTTTCAAGAAATGGGAAAAACTGTAAACTGGTGTAAAGTACGGATTTTCATCTTTAAACAAATGGTATTTTAATTTCTAAATTGAAAACTTTCTAGACAGTAATTGCATTTGGTCTGCAGGATCATATACACTTCACCGTGGGCAAACATGCTCTGAACCTGAAACAGTTGGAGAGTGCTACAGCTGCATTCAAGCACCTCCTCATGAAGGAGAGTAAACAGTCTGTATCTCAGCAAGCGACATACCTAAGGGAATACATCTTTGTCTACAAGGTTAGACTTGTCTCTATTGTGTCTCTTCTTATCCCAGGGAATACATCTTTGTCTACAAGGTTAGACTTGTCTCTATTGTGTCTCTTCTTATCCCAGGGAATACATCTTTGTCTACAAGGTTAGACTTGTCTCTATTGTGTCTCTTCTTATCCCAGGGAATACATCTTTGTCTACAAGGTTAGACTTGTCTCTATCATGTCTTCTAATCCCACGGAATACATCTTTGTCTACAAGGTTGACTTGTCTCTATCATGTCTCTTCTTATCAAAGGGAATACATCTTTGTCTACAAGGTTATACCTGTCTTTACCTTGTCTCTTTTTACCCCAGGGAATACATCTTTGTCTACAAGGTTAGACTTGTCTCTACCGTGTCTCTTCTTATCCCAGGGAATACATCTTTGTCTACAAGGTTAGACTTGTCTCTACTGTCTCTTCTTATCCCAGGGAATACATCTTTGTCTACAAGGTTAGACTTGTCTCTACCGTGTCTCTTCTTATCCCAGGGAATGCATCTTTGTCTACAAGGTTAGACTTGTCTTTACCGTGTCTCTTCTTATCCCAGGGAATACATCTTTGTCTGCAAGGTTAGACTTCTCTACCGTGTCTCTTCTTATCCCAGGGAATACATCTTTGTCTACAAGGTTAGACCTGTCTTTACCGTGTCTCTTTTTACCCCAGGGAATACATCTTTGTCTGCAAGGTTAGACTTGTCTCTACTGTGTCTCTTCTTATCCTAGGGAATACATCTTTGTCTACAAAGTTAGACTTGTCTCTACCATGTCTCTTCTTATCCCAGGGAATACATCTTTGTCTAAAAGGTTAGACTTGTCTCTATCGTGTCTCTTCTTATCCCAGGGAATACATCTTTGTCTAAAAGGTTAGACTTGTCTCTACCGTGTCTCTTCTTATCCCAGGGAATACATCTTTGTCTAAAAGGTTAGACTTGTCTCTACCGTGTCTCTTCTTATCCCAGGGAATACATCTTTGTCTACAAGGTTAGACTTGTCTCTATCGTGTCTCTTCATATCCCAGGGAATACATCTTTGTCTACAAGGCAAATTTCTCTATACTGTCTCTCTTTACCTTAGGAATACATCTTTGTCGAAAAGGTAAAATTTCTTTATAATATGTATCTTTACCCTTGGGAATACATTTTTGTCTACACGGTGAAGTCTCTCTATACTGTGTTTGACTTGTCCTTGTTTTATCGTCTTTTTAACCCTTACCTTTTATGTGCAAGATTACCCATGACATTGATACATGTTGCTTCAACTTTTTCACCCTGCGAAGGCTTAAAAAAAATGGCTATGAACTGGAGTTTCCACACACACACACAAATTCATTTACAATTTTTAAAAAAAAATTTATTTTACAAGTAACTAATAAATATTAAATCAATGTATTAATCATGTTTTTTTTTTTTTTTTTTACAAATTTTTTTCTACAAGTAACTTATAAATTTTACAACAGTGTTATCATTTGTTGAATTTGTTTTAAAAAATACAAGTAACTAATAAATATTAAAACAATGTTATCATTTAAAAAAAACTTTAATTTTGAAATATGAGGATAAATCTAAGAGATGCAATTAATAAATAAAGATGTGCACAGGATATGTGATAGAGAGCAATGTTCTTCAAAGGACCTGCTGTGTAATGATGATTGATGTTTCCTCAACTCCCCATAATGATGATTGATGTTTCCTCAACTCCTTCTTTTGCAGCAATTGCTAAACCAGGAAGAGAGAAGCAGCAGCACATATGGTCATCTGCCAGAGCTCCCATTACCTGTCGTGGACAGTAATGCAACCAAGGTTCTCTTATCCTCTTCAAATAGAAAATATGGTGAGTCCCAAACTTCACTCCATTGTTAATGATTATTTTTTTACGGTTGACAAGAACAAAAACCTTTTTCAGGTGGTGTCACAATAGAGAGTTGTTTTATGTTGATTGTCTGTTCACAGGGGAGTTGTTATATGTTAAATGTCTGTGCACAGGGAAGTTGTTATATGTTGAATGTCTGTTTACAGGGAAGTTGTTTTATGTTGAATGTCTGTTCACAGGGGAATTGTTATTGTTATATGTTGCATGTCAGTACACAATGGTAATGTTATATGTTGAACGTCTGTTCACAGGGAAGTTGTTGAATGTCTGTTCACAGGGAAGTTGTTATACGTTGAATGTTTGTACACAAGGGAATTGTTATTGTTATATGCTGAAAGTCAGTACACAAGGGAATTGTTATTGTTACGTGCTGAATGTCTGTACACAAGTGAGTCATTTTTGTTATATGTTGAATGTCTGTTCACAGGGTTGTTGTTATATGTTGAATGTCTGTTCACAGGAAAGTTGTTATCAGTTGAATGTTTGTACACAAGGGAATTGTTATTGTTGTATGCTGAATGTCAGTACACAAGGAAATTGTTATTGTTACATGCTGAATGTCTGTACACAAGGGAGTCGTTATTGTTATATGTTGAATGTCTTTTCACAGACATGTTGTATGTTAAATTGTCTGTTCAGAGGGAAATGGACGTAGGATCCCTGCCTCGGGAATGTGGTTTGACAGTGATGCAGACAACCAGGAGAGGTGGAAGTCACTGGAGGAGAAGCTAGTACAGTCGTCTGGGCGTCCTTTCCGGGTTTGTCCGCAGTTGTTCACTGATGCCACTGACAATCGGTCCAGCCCTGTTGGCTTTGTTGGAGGTGAGATGCACTGTTTGTTCGATGATTAAAAAAATTTTGTGTTTCAGTAATATCCTACCCCAAATAGGGGAAAATCCTCAGGTCACGGGACAGTCTATTTCAGGGGGTGGTAGGTAGGCTGCATGCAGTTGTGGGACCTAGGCTGCATTCTCTCGTGGGGCGTAGGTGGGTTGGGGTTAGGGCCAGTTCTAGATTTTTTGGAGTTGTTAAAAGCATCAGAAAGCTGGGAAACCGTCTTAAACACCTAAAATGGACTGTCATGTGACATCATCTGGGATAAGATATTAATAAAATTTAAAAAAATTTTTAAATAGTGATCAGAAAGTAGCTGGTAAAGAATTTTTCCATTGTCTTCTAAGGAAGGCACATATTTTATTAAACTTAGTGCAGTGAAAATTAGGAAGAATTGGAAGCTACAAAGATGTGGATTCTGAGACGAATGTTAAGAATACCTTGAAGGCCAGAGTAACTAATAATGATTGCTTGAAAGAAGCTAATGAAAGTAGATCTCCATACACAATAAGAAAGAGACAAACACTGTTCTTTGGCCACATAATGAGAAAAGAGACATCGTGACAACTTGAAAGATCCGTGGGGAAAAAAGGGTAGAGGCAGACCAAGAGAGATGATGCTGGATGGGCTGAGGGATATCAAGAAGCTGTTCCAGGCACCCAGGGATTGTGATCTGTGGAGAGGCATGAGTGCCCATACCAGTTAGCAGGGCACACGATGATGATGATGAGTGCAGTGATGTCAGTTCTAGATCCAGTCATTCTGTTTTTGTTTAACTCTTTACAGACCAGGTACTGATTTAGTGGCTTTTGAATTCATCATGTTCAGTACCAAATGCCACTATAATGGCTCACTCTAATATTGTTTTATTTGCTGGGAAAATGGATTGTGTGACACTGTGAACATATTTTTAAAAAAAACCAGAATTAGCAGAATGAAGTCCTTTCACTTTTGAAGTTTGGCTTGATGTTTGGGTCACTTTCTGGTTTGCTTTAAATTAATAAGATGTGATAACGATTTTTATATGCTGTTTCCAGGTCAAATAATGGAAAAGGTCTAGAAGTATTCATACTGCTCTGTCGTTGATGAATCTCAGCCAAATACGTACGACAATAGTCTTGGTATTATGATCGATAGTGCTGATTGATTTTGCAGATAATGTAGGTTTGGTTGAAGTTGAACAAAATGTATCTTGTCAGATCATTCCTGTTTGTCACCTGTGTCAGGATTCCTATCAGTATAGGAACTTTCCATTGGCTACGGAGGAAAGCACATATTTAAATGTTGAATTAAGAATGGAGATCACAGCACTCGAGACACTCCCATAAGTACTCAGTCCCCATCTTCAGCAGTAAGCGAAGAGTTCCAGTTTCGATGGCGCCAGTAACCGTCTGATTGTATACCCGTCTCATCCTTCCCCTGAGTGTTGAGCGCCGGCCAAATCCACTGGTATCTCCTCGCAGCGCCATTCTCCTTAGACCGTAAAGCTCTATCTGCGTAAACCAGTGTTCTGGGGCCCCTACGACAGGAATAAGGTTTTTAATAATGGCTAGTCACTTGATCTGCAGATTAGCATGGGCCCCTGTGGGGCCCCCCCCCCCCCCCATCCGGGCATGTGCCCAGCAGGCCCATGTGTCTATAATACCACTTGTTAGGGCGGTGTAGATGGGGGTCTTGAGCATGAGAATTTAAGGCTGCCTGGCTAGTGCAGTTACCATGAACTACACAGATTAGGAGGGTTTTGTATTGTTGCCCTGACAGATTTGAACCTGGGTCTCTTGGTGAGAGTCCAGCATTCTAACCTTCCACTTCTTAGTTGAATTATGTCGAGTTGATTTAAGAAGATGGGATTTGAGAGTTTAAATATCTGGGAACTACATTTACCGAAGATGGGAAATTGGATACAGAAATTAACATTAGATGCAGTAAAGCAAACCAAGTTTTGGGACAGCTAGCCCCCCTCTTACAGCATAAGACAATCCCAATCAGCACAAAAAGGCATCTTATTCAAAGCATATTTATTCCAACTCTGTGCTACCAGTGCCAGACATGGTCACTCACAACAAACCATAAAAGAAAATTAGTAACCATGGAAACAAGATGTCTGAGAAGGGCTGTAGGAGTGACCATAAGAGATCAGATCAGGAATGAGATCATAAGAGAAAAAGTCGGCACAGAACCAATTCTGGATTACATACAAAGACAGCAAGTAAAATGGTTTGCCCACTTAGAGAGAATGCCTTGTGACACCATACCATACAAAGCATACATGGAAAGAGAAGGACGTAGAGCACGAGGTAGACCAAGAACAAGATGGAAGGATAACATCAGAGAAACTCTACAACAGCATGATGTGCCTATGGTCGAGGCAACCAGAAGAGCTAGAAACAGAACCTTATAAATCCCTCAACACCCACAGCGGTAAAAGAGGAAGTGAAGAAGAAGATTATTTAAGAACTGACATCACAACACTCAGGGCATTCCCATAAGTGCTCTGTCCCCATCTTCAGCAGCAAACACAAGTTCCATTAGCAGTGGTATCAGGAGCAGTCTGATTATATGTACATCTAGCCTTTCCTTTGAGCGTTAAGTATCAGCTGGATACCTGCATTACTCTCAGGAGACTGATGGCCTATTTGCTCCTCCCATAGGGCCTTGACCACACCTACCTTATCATGCATCAGTATTCCATCAGGTTGTGCAGTGCCAGCCACTCTGTCATCTGTCATTTCCCCACAACACTGTCATGACCCTGAGAAAATATCCAGACCCCACTCCTCCCCAACGACCTCCAGAACGAAGCATGCCTGTCCTCATCATCTTCAGCATGCTTTTTGAGTCAGTTATAATCCTGACGCATGTGTGTCTCGTGTTTCTCTAGCCAACAGAAAGCTGAAGTGACCGTCTCCACCTCCATTCTTAAGTTGGATGTTGTGTTATCATATACTAGGCTTACCCGGAACAAACACCTTTATGATAACAGAGATAATCTAATTTGTTTTTTATATTTGGTGCCATGCAGAACCCATAACAATTGAGCTGCAAGTGGAGAACCCACTCCATGTGATGCTGGTTCTGTCGGATATCTCCTTGCTGTGGACCTTCGTTCCTTCCATTCAGGGACCTGACCCGCAGCAGGTCATCTCAAACGAAGTCACAACAGTTGTCAAGGTTGGTTATGAGCTTGTTTAGAGTTTAGATCCAAAGTTATCATCCTGTGTTTGCTCACCTTCTTCTTCATTTGTGGTTTCACTGATACCAGGTTGTAGCCTAGTATTGTGGTTTTCTGTATTTGTCTTGCTCTTCTCGGGAATTTGAGTGATGGATTTGTTCATCTTTTTGCATGTTTCAGCTGCACCATTTATCCGTCTCCTTCTTGGTCCTCCTGTCGCCTTCCTCCCAGATGTTCTACTGTAAAAAGTTTCATATACAGCCTGATCTAGCTGCATTCTCATTAGATGGCTGAACCATTTCATTCTTTGTCAATATATTCCAGACATGGTCTTTTTCCAACTTTCTCTCTAATGCTGGTATTTATAACCCTGTCTCGTCTAGTGTTAGTGACCTTGCAGAGACAGCATTTCAAATGTGGTTATTTTCTGTTCTAGTGTGCCCTATTCATTGTCCACGTTTGGCACTGATAACATAAACTAGGGATAAAGGAGCTATTATTTATTTGCTATTTTGCTGGAAGGGAGACATTTGGGTGTCTAAGCAGTGGAGCTAACTGGTAAGTGACAGCATTTGCCTTCTGTACTCTGGCTTCAATCTCTGCATCGAGTCTGCCATTCTCCAAAAAATATGCTTCCTAGATATTTGAATTCTCGTACTTGTTTGATTGTATAGTAGTACCGTTAACATGAACGTTCGTATTATTGTTTCCTGCCTATCCTCATTACCTCAGTTTGTGCAGTGTTTATTCTCTATTTATTCTCATGTCATACTTTCTGTAGACTTGATGTAAGGAATCAATATGGTGTTGTAAATTCTGTTCTTGGTGGTATATTATTTGCCCATTGAAAATCTTAAGTTCACCCATTGAAGATCTTGTTAATTTCTTGTTAAGTTCATCCATTAAAGATCTTGTTAAACCCGCCCATTGCAGATCTTATGTTCGCCCATTGAAGATCTTGTTAATTTTGCCCATTAAAGATCTTGTTAAGTTCACCCATTAAAGATCTTCTTAAGCTCGCCACATTGATGGTCTTGTTAATTTTGCCCATTGAAGATCTTGTTAATTTGACTCATTAAAGGTCTTGTTAAATTCACCCATTGAAGACCTTTAGTTCACTCATTGAAGATCTTGTTCAGTTCACCCATTTGTAGACCTTGTTACGTTGGCCTATTGAAGTTCTTTTTAAATTCACCCATTTTAGATATTGGTTCACCCATTGAAGTTCTCAAATTCACCCATTGAAGATCTTTGTTGTTGTTGTATGTGTGTACATGTGAGCAACAACTGTGCACCTGTCTATATTTATGCATGCATGTATGCACCACTAGAAACTGCAGGTAAACTAATTTTAAGAATATCTTATTTTACAGAACAGCTTAGCCGATGAGATCATTCAGACGTCTGTGATAAAAGAGGTCATAGTTCAAGGGGTCCAGAGTGAGCGGGTAAGTTTGTGTGCACTGCCTAGTTTGGGATGTTTTGTTTGTTCATTTCGTGAGGTGGCGTCTCGGAGAAATTACATGTTTGCCCCAAGCTACGGAGCTTCCAGGTTCAGATCCAGTCATCCCCATGTGGGTTCGGGGACCCCATTTTGAACAACAAATAGACCCAACTTTCCCTAACAAGCATGTCATAAAAGGCAACTGTTTGTGTTGCTGAAATTAGATGTGTTGGGTGGAAATGTGCAGGTATCCTGGCCTAGCTGTAAACCTGGCCTAGCTGTAAACTTGGCCTAGCTGTAAACCTGGCCTAGCTGTAAACCTGGCCTAGCTGTAAACCTGGCCTAGCTGTAAACCTGGCCTAGCTGTAAACCTGGCCTAGCTGTAAACCTGGCCTAGCTGTAAACCTGGCCTAGCTGTAAACCTGGCCTAGCTGTAAACCTGGCCTAGCTGTAAACCTGGCCTAGCTGTAAACCTGGCCTAGCTGTAAACCTGGCCTAGCTGTAAACCTGGCCTAGCTGTAAACCTGGCCTAGCTGTAAACCTGGCCTAGCTGTAAACCTGGCCTAGCTGTAAACCTGGCCTAGCTGTAAACCAGCTGTGTGGTTGCTGTGGCTGCCCTGGTACTGCACTGGAGTGTCGATGTCATCAAAGATCCTTTCTGATATAACCCCTAGATAGTTGATTTTGCAGGGCATTTTGTCTCACAGGTGTTGATTTTACAATTTTAATAACATTGAGTATTCCTCCAACTTGTAGCCAACTATCCATGTTTCAGATCGTTAAAGACGAGAGGATCTATTTCATTGAACCGGGTTTTATCCTATATGGCTCAGTCTCTCTTCACAGAATGGCTAGCCGCCTGCTGAGTGCATTGCACAGAGCATGAACTCCATAGCTCCAGCAACGATTCCCAAAAATGTATCTGCAGGTTGATAATTCTCTGAAAAAAGTATGCCCAGAAATTTACCTCACACAAAATTATGTTTGCCTTTCAGATTCATTTAACACTCACCCCAAGGCAACCTGGCCATTTGAGAGTTGTAGGCCTGGCTTATAATTTGGGTACAAGCTCGATTACCCAGAGTGCCTCTTTACAAGAGGGAGACAAGCCAGCAGTTAATCAGCCAAAGTTTAGTCTGACTACAAGCATGATGGTCCGGGGGAAGCAGAAACTGGAGCCACAGGGACCTCGGCTGAATGCCACCAAAGAGGAGCGGACAGAAAAACTGTATGGCCCAGATAGGAGGCTGGATCTGTTGATTCATGAGGAGATGCCAAGTTTAGAGGTAAGGGTTTGTTTTTATTATTGTCTCTGAATTCATAAAGCTTATAAATGCTTGGTCACAATCATCGTCGTCTATTCAAGACTTGGTACTTTTAATACATGCAAGAGACCCAAGATCAGATCCTGGGTAAGGTTGTAGATTTTTTCTGCTGGGACAAAAAAAAAAAAAAAAAAAAAAAAAAAAAAAAAAAAAAAAAAAAAAATCCTACAGAGCTCGTGATGACTGCTCTACTAGCCTGGCGGCCAATATTACTCAGGCTCAGATACCACCCCAAACTCCCTCTTTCCACATCTTCCTTTTAAGGTTTAAACAACGGATCAGCATCATGGCGCACGGGTAGTAACCCATAAGTGCTTCGTTCTTCTTCTAATTCAAGTCCGAAGAAGCTCAGCACAGTGCACAGGCTCTGTAGTACCGGCGAGGATCCTGAAATACTTTGAGTAGATTTTTAACTCAAAATTTTGCCCGGGCAGCTCCGTTAGGATACTGCCAAGGGATTTTTTACATGCGCAACAATGCACACGGGCATCCGATCTCACTAGAAATCCAAGTCCACCTGAAAAAATCCCAGCCCTTACCAGGGATTAAACCTGGAACCTCTAGCACTCGAGGCGGACACCGTGCCTTGAGACCACGCAGCCCTCTATCACACATCTTCCTAAAAAGTGGTAATTACAGACAGTCATGGCAGAAAGTCATGTGTGATTTTTATCCTAATTTCTTTCTTTGGATATCTGCACATCATGACCTTCTGGAGCTGAAAGTCACAAGGTCAGTTACCCTGGGATTACTTTGGTTAATAGGTGGCAGGTTTTGGTAGTAAATATGTACAATCTCTCTAAGTGTAGCACATCTGACAGCTGCCTTATGTATTGTTACTTTGCATGTGCAAGCTTCAGGGTTTTGCTGGGACTGACGTCTGCAGTGATGTTGGTACCTCGACTAACTACTTAACTTTATTTCCTATAACTAAAGAACTAAAGAGTTAAGTGACCAGCTTGCTTATTGTATAAAAGTTCCAGGCCGGCTTCATCGGACATGAATGGGTTGTCAAATTAGACGCATCACAAATGACATCTCTTAACATTTATCTTTGTGCCACTTCATGCAGTTGTTTGAGGCAATCAATGTGCTGATTATTAGAATCTGCGGTTGCTGTGATTGGTCTGGAATTGGACCCGATTTGTCATCAGTGCCATGGGAGTTGCATATTGTGAAGGTGATTACAGCAAAATACACGACTCTGAATCCCTCTCCGCTTTGATGGGTATGAGGGTGGAAGCTAGAGCTGATAGACATGAACCAGGGTTCGTAGTGGACCGGGAAATCGGGAAATTACCGGGATTTTTTTCGTTGACCTTGAATCGGGATTTTTAGCTTATAAAAGACATTCCGACCTTGAAAAGCCGTGAATTTTGACCGCGGGGCAATGAAATCGTCAGAAATCCTGTGTTTTTCAGCACAGGCAATTTTGGGGGAGCCATTTGGCTTTTTTGGCCATTTGGCTAGTTTTTGGCTACTTTCGTTGTATGGTCGTTTCAGGTGTGAGGGCAGCTGATTATTGGCTATTTTCAGCCGAAATGGCTTGTTAAAGGCCAGGGGAGGGCGGGCTTTGTTACAGATCATGAATACATGCAGACAGCAGCAGTGTGGCATGGGGCGGGAAGGAGCAGCTTCCGTCTCGCGTGTGTGTGTGTGTGTGCCTTTGTTTCTAGCAAGTCGGGCAGAATGAACAGTTTAAATCGTTTATGGCCGTGGTATCTAGAAAGGATTACATTGGGAGATGGTGGGGCTCGGTTCAGTTGTATTTATAAATAGTGTCGCCGTGGTGGGGGCTAAGCACGGCCTTCTCTATTAATTAGAGATGGCATTGGGGCTAAGCAAAGTGACTGCAGCAGGATTTCCCAGTTCTATTTTTGGCCTGGATTTATCTTTACAGTGTGTTTGGCGATCAGTATTGTAATTCCCCGTGATTCCCTCTTCTGTTGTCTCACCCCTCTCTCTCTCTCTCTTCCCTTCCTCTTTCACTCTTCTACCTATTGCTCCTTCCTTTCCGTCTCCTGTATTGTCTCTAACCCTTCCTTCTGATCTTCATCTTCTTCTCTTTCTCTCTATCTTTCCTTTTACTCTCTCATTTCCTGTCCCCCCTCCCCCTTTTTCCTTTTTATTTCTTGTTTAAATGTTTAGTAAATGTGCGGCTCCATAACTCTTCCTAGCAACTCAAGTACACAGGAAGTTGTATTGGGGGGGGGGGGGGGGCATTCTCTTTTGATGTGTTTGTTTTCCTAGCGGCCTTAATCTCTGTCCATCTCCCTTCCCGCCCCTCACATTTTGTCCTACCTGTTCCTCACTCTCTGCCTGTCTGTGTCACTGCTTTCTTCTTTCTCTTTGTATTTGCCACTCTCCCTCACTCCCTCCCTCTCTCTCTCTCTCTCTCTCTCTCTCTCTCTTTTCTTTCTCCAAACCTTCAGTTGGGTAGAAGGTTATGTGTTGCCTAGTGCAGAACATTTCATGTCCACCATTCCCCCTCCCACACATTAAATATATGTGTACTTTTAAAAACACATTTGCCGTCACCCCCCCCCCCCCCCCTTTTTCTCCTCCCACATTGATGACACCTAGGGGAGGGAGTGCACCCCTTCCTGCTACCTTCTTCCCTCTATATCTCATCTTATTTCTTACTCCCTTCTTTCTCTCCCTGTCTCATTCCCACTTTATTTTCTTAAACTTTATTCTCTCACCTCCTCTGTCTCACCCTTACCACCTCAGCCTTCTACACCACTTTCCACCACCTCCTCTCTCCCCTCCTTTCTGTAATTGGAAAACCAGAAATAAAACGAAGTCCACTGCTGCCCTGACCTATTTATGTGTCTGACCTATTTATGTGTGTGGGTAAACTTCTCTATTTTCCACCAGTGGTGGGTTGGGATCCCCTGGACTTTTTTCTTCTTCATAAAATGACCTTGGCTCTCAGGTCACCAGCCTTAAGTGTAAGAAATTGAATTATTGTTGTCACACACAAATAGGACAAGCAAGGGGCAGTAGGGGTTAGCACTGTTGTTTCTGGACCACGGCCACATTCACATTGGGAGAGGGTAGGAACCGGAAAAGTGGCCTCACTTAGAGATTTCCTAATTCTATTTTTGGCACTCATAACTATCTTTTCCTAGTGGTTGTGTCCACTACACTTGAAATTGTGTGGGGGGGGGGGGGGGGGGGGGGGGGGGTGGCTGTTTTTTTTTTTCTTTGATGTATCTTGTCTCCCTTCCTGCCCCTCTCTCTTAATTTGTGTTTGTCACTGCCTTCCTTACCCACCTCTCTCTCTCTCTTGCTTTATGTCTGTTTGCCCCCCTTCATCACTTCCTCTTTGTATACCTCCCTCCCATTCTCCTGCTCTGCCTTTTTTCTCTTTCTTTGGTTCTCTCCCTCTGTCTGCTTGCCTCTCTGTGCTGTCCCTTTGTCTCTCTCTCTCCTTTATGTCTACATCTCTCTCTGCTTGCATCTGCTTCTCACCCTGTCCGTTCTCTCTCCCTCTGTCTCCCTTCTTTCAACTCTTTGTCATATTTCCTCCTTCCATATCTCTGTTTCGTTCCCTTTTTCCTTCTCTTTTCATCTGCCCATCTCTGTATCTGCGTTCCCTCTTTCTGTATTTGTCTCCCTCTCTGTCTTTCACTGTTCCTTCCCCACTTTTCCTCATCATGTCTCCATCCCTCCCTCTCATTTCTTCCTCCTTCCCCAGACTCTTTTTCCTTCTTTTCTCTACCTTCATCTGTCCATCTTTACACTGTCTCTCCCAGCCTACCTCAGCATGTGTCTTCCTCTCTCTTCATGACTCTCTCTCTCTCCCCTAACCCTCTCAGGTACCAGGTCCAGAACAGACAGGACTTTAGTTTGCTGCCCTCTACCACCAAGCCCTAAAAAAATTTCAAACACTATATCAAGCTCAGGGGCCGACCAGCACGAAGATGGGCACAGGATATAAGTGACTCCTTGAGTATAAAAAAGTACATGAGGCGGGAGAGCTGGTGAGAGACCGAGGTTTTTTTGTCAGGACAAAGGTAATGCAAAATGATGATGATATATGTGCTGGTATACCAACACATGTGGCACAAATGAAGTACCTTGTGTGCTCAGTACACCCTTGAACAAGGCAAAAATCTTGTTTCAGTATTACACCGAGACAACCTTGAAAAAAACTAAGGAGACCTTAAAAAAGACCTTGAAAAGCCTTGAAATTGAATGGTAAATTTGGCTATGAACCCTGATGAACATTTTGCTAACTGCATGAGACATTTGATAAATGAACACAGAATGTGCATGATCAAAGGGCTGTGTGGTCTCGAGGTATGGCGTCCACCTCGAGTGCTGGAGGTCCCGGGCTCAAGTCCCAGTGAAGGCTGGAATTTGTTCATGTGTACTATTAGTAATTTCCTCTGGTCTCTGGGTAGTAATATTCTACAGGTTTGAGGGTTATTTGGCAAGTCAAATCTACTTCTGTCTGTCATGCATTTTTTTTCTGGCCACTTCAACTGGTAACTGAATGTCGTTAAAAAAAAAAAAAAGATTCTTGCCAATTTCAGTCAGCTCCTAGAATGAGCAGTTGTTTATTTGCTGCGTACAAAGACGCTTGTTTCTTTCCAGTTTGTTTGTTAGGTGATTATGTCTCCTGTTTCATTTCTTGTGCGAGGGAGGGGATCGTAAACCGCCCTAAAAATGGCAGTTTTTGTTTGCCTGGGGTGGCTCTCGAACGGGTATGGGTGGGAGTGAACTGGGTGGTGGTTCATCATGCCTGGGGTCTCGAGCTGGGAGGTTTCTTCAGTCCGGTGTGCTGGTAGATTGGAATGTCATGGCTGCTTGCGTGGTTTCCATTGGTTGCTGGTGTCTGTTGGTTTAAAAATTTGTTTACTTCGTGGGTGAGTGGTCGGCGACGGTTTTTTGGTTTGTTTTTTGCCTGGGTCTCTTCGTAGCTGGGTGCCTTTGGATGGAGGACTTTGTGGGCTCTTGACATTTCTGCGAGTAGTTTCCTTTGGTACTCCTTGTCTCACGTACAGGTGAGGATTTGGTTCTGAGCGATGGTTGAAGTTACGTTTTTCTCTGTGGTATATTATGTCCCAATAGCCTTCTGGGGCCCAAAATCATGCGCTTGGTTGACCACTTCAATCATCTTTCTTGCCTTTAGTACAGAAATGAATAATGCAGATGTGGTATCTAAGAAAGGCTGCAGAAGTGACCAGAAGAGATCAAATCATAATGAAGCCACGAGAGAAAAAGATTGCACAAAACTAGTACTTGATACAGCAGATAAAATGGTTTGCTGGCTTAGAGAGAGTGCCTTGCGCCACCATACCATACAACCATACAAGACACATGATTAAGTGTAGAGAGTAGAGCATTAGGTAGACCAAAAAACAAGAAGGGAAGATATCAGAAACTCTACAGTACTTTGAGGTAGTAGTGGTTTAGGCAGCCACAAGTGCAAGATATAGAACCATTTATCTCCCTCGACACATGAATTGTGAAAGAGAAAGTGAAGAAGAGTAAAGGGCCCTTTTCCACTCTCTTTGGCATATTGAGTAAATAGAGAAAGTAAAGTAAATGTTCTTTCTCTGTGTCTTCAGACATATTGGGTATATAGGGTCAGACTTATGTTTTATAGACCAATTGGCACAAGCTTGGTGATGTAGTCTACATCAGGTCAATCGCCTTTACTTCCCAAGTCTTTACCCCTTTGAAGTCTGGGCAGACTTGGGAGCCAGGGTAATTTAAAATATTTGACTTGATGTGGATTTGAACCACCAGTATTCAGGCCCACAGGCAAGTATGACGAAGAAGTAAAACTGAAATGAAATGAAATGAATTAGATTGTTTGGTCTTTTATTGACTGTCTTTATATTATGCAGGTCGTCTTCTGTGACTTCCCAGAAAACGTACTCTGTGGGGAGGTACAGTGTATTGAAATAGAGTTCACCAACGTCGGGAAAAGTTCCCTAAAGTCCCTGAAGGTCATATCCACCCACCCCAGATTTTTCACATTTGGGCGGGACTCTGAGCTGCCCAAGTACCCGTATGTGTACCAGATGCGTACGTCCCAGTGTACGTCTCTAAGCTCCACCCTCACCAGCACTGTGACAGGCAAGGAGGAGTTTTTGAAGTTTCCGGATGTTCTGCATATTCCACTGCCCAAAGGAGAGCTGCGCCCAGGGGAGAAGGTCTCCATTCCCATGTGGCTACGGGGAGATGATATTGGAGGCATCCATGAGGTGGATTTCATGTTCTACTACGAGCCATTTGCTCATCCTTCTAATATCGGGTTAGTGCTTGTGTTTGTGTGTAGTTTTCTACTTTAAATATTCTGTTGCTCTTTTAGTAGTGTAACGTAATAAAAGGTGATCGCTAGTGTTGGCACCTCTAGCGACTGCCTTATGTGTTTACGGTTTCCCCCCCCCCCCCCCCCCCCCCTCCTGAGTTTTGGCAGGACTGTTTGTTTGACTAGATTTGGGATAAAACAGTGGAGGTCATTTGTGTGATCTCCCCCCAGCCTTTCTCGGCACAGAAGCATATCAGTTATATTGTGCAATAGCTGCAGTAAAGTTGAAAACGTTGACTACGTCTATACTACTACTGCTGCTGCTACAAAGGATGAGGTGGTTCTATATTTCAGAGCATGGTAATGAAATCAGGCATGCTTCATTTCATGCCAAGATGCAAGCATCACTTCAGAGGTCTGGGGTAATTAGCTTCTTTTTGATATTTTCTCCAGGTGATGTCCGGTTTGTTGGGAAATGAGCAGACAGATAGACTGGCTGGCTCTGCGCCACTTGGTGGTGAATTGATGTTTGACAAGTTAGATTGTGAGAGCACTTTGGGAATGAGTGAACAGTGTGGAGGCACAGATAGATCATTACGGTCTAAGACAAATGGCGCTGCAAGGAGTTACCAGGGGATCCGGTCGACGCTCAACACTCAACACTCAGGGGAAGGATGAGATAGATATACAGTCAGATGGATATACAGTCAGACGGTTACTGGTACCATCGCAATAGGAACTCTTTGCTTGCTGCTGAAGATGGAGACAGAGCATTTATGGGAGTGTCCCGTGTGCTGTGATGTCGATTCTTGGTTCAACATTCAACATTTAGCCTGGTAGTAATGATATAAAAATAAAATTAGGTCTGTTCATTTGTTTTATAAGCTGCTATTATATTTGAAATTGTTTTGGGGGCCTTCTTTCTTTTTTTTTAAATTATCACTAAATCTGGGACATCGAGTGATACTTTTCGGCTTATCACTATCCTCTTGTGGGTTCCAAGACACCATTTTTGGGGGAAAAGTAGAATGAATACTCACTGCCCCTATAATAAAGCAGTGGTGTTTCCTTCAAAATTGGAGTGCTTCTGCCTGAGAGAAGAGGAACCAATAGTCTGCATACCAACAAACTAAAAACCCCAGAAAAGCCAGATCTGTAAGTTGAATGTACACCCACAACTCAAGTTTTGTGAGGAAAGTCCAGAAGTGGACGAGCAACCATAAATCTCCACCTCAGTTTTCAGCCGGGGATATTGCTGAAGACTGACTTACTTGATTTTTAGAACAGGTTAAAACAACAAATCTTTGACCCATGAACAATGCAGGTAACAGAGAAGGATAATGAGAAGCAACAATGAATTTTGGTCTGTTTAAAGCAGCACTAATTACCGGCATCATTAGGGCTAATAGATGACGCTGCTTCAAGCAGATAGAGAGAATAGTAGTTAAGAAAGAGATGAAAACTGCGAGCTTAAGAGTTAAATGAAAGTAGACAATGAGGATGGTGGAGAGATACCATTTGGCTGCAAGTTAAAAGGGGGACCTTGCCTTGGGCCTGAAGGTTGTAGGCTAAAAACTGCATCGATGCAGAATTTCTTCAGACATCATTGGCTTAAAACGTGGAGGATGAAGAAGAACAAAGAAGAAGATCTGTGATATGTCCTGTATAAACTCATCTATTAAGTCTCAGACTACTAATGGCAGCCGTGGCCCCTGGAAATTATTTTAAATATTTTGTCTATCTCAGATATAGAGTACTGCGCCACAGAGCTGTATTGAACACAGTCGAGTCTTTAAGCGTTCGAACCACCGTCACACGGCCTGCTGCTCGTGTGGGATCAATACGAGGCCAAGAACTCAACTCATGCATGTTTGCATGTGAGCTGGAAAATTTAAGTCAGGTAAGTTGTATTGTTAACCGTCTGCTACATAAACTTAGCTCATGTTTACACATCGTCTATTATCCTGCCATCTCCTTGTGAGATACAATTTTTTGTTATTTTGAAGCCACACCCTGGCTCTTACCAGGGGCCGCAGTATAGCCCAACCATAAATATGGTCTAATGGCTGAACGCAGTTTCTGGGACCTCTCCACGGTTGATCCTCATCAAAATGGTGGCACTGTGTCATCGGGTGTTTATTGCTTGTGTGATGTCCTAGTGGGGTAAAAATCTACTACTACACATTGTCATGTTTCTTTGATTTGTAAGGGGGGGGGGGGGGGGGGGGGGGGAGAGCTGTGATTTTTACTAGGCAGTTTAACATACAATAGTTTTGCACTGATGTCTAATCAATTGGCTGACAAAATCAGTGCAAAGAATCTGTTTCCAAATCGCCCATATGCCCACAACTGGGATGGAACCTATGTTTCTTCAGGTTGAACCGTGTTTGCAGTGCTTAAGCCAAAAACACTGACAGCTTGTAAGGAAGATTTCTGTTATAGTTTGATTTGTTACAGGTATAGATGGGAGAATGACAATGATTGCCTGAAGTACAGATGGCAGAATGACAATGTTTGCTTGAAGTACAGATGGGAGAATGACAATGATTGCCGGAAGTACTGATAGCAGAATGACAATGATTGCCTGAAGTACAGATGGCAGAATGACAATGATTGCCTGAAGTACAGATGGGAGAATGACAATGATTGCCGGAAGTACTGATAGCAGAATGACAATGATTGCCGGAAGTACTGATAGCAGAATGACAATGATTGCCGGAAGTACTGATAGCAGAATGACAATGATTGCCTGAAGTACAGATGGCAGAATGACAATGATTGCCGGAAGTACTGATAGCAGAATGACAATGATTGCCTGAAGTACAGATGGCAGAATGACAATGATTGCCTGAAGTACAGATGGCAGAATGACAATGATTGCCTGAAGTACAGATGGCAGAATGACAATGATTGCCTGAAGTACAGATGGCAGAATGACAATGATTGCCGGAAGTACTGTTAGCAGAATGACAATGATTGCCGGAAGTACTGTTAGCAGAATGACAATGATTGCCTGAAGTACAGATTGCCTGGATAACGATAATAAAAGTAGAGTGTTATTCTCAACTGTTAGAAAGACACAAATTAAAGACACAGATTGAACACGAATGTTGTTAACAATGGTCCTGAAATCCCATGCTATCCTTGTGGGAGACTTTTCTTGACACCGGCGGATCTTGCTAGTCATACTCGCCATCGCCATCGCTCAGTATAACACTATCGTCTGGAAAGACGTATTGGTGTCAGTGATGAGAAAGACACACATAATGTCATTGGTCCGGTGATGGAAAGTGAGGCACAGTCTCCGTGGTGATGGAAAGTGATTCAGTCTCCATGGTAATGGAAAGCTAGGCAGTCTCCGTGGTGATGGAAAGCAAGGCAGTCTGCAAGGCTAAGTGGTCAGTCTTGCACTGTGAGGATCATGACTTTGTTTCATGTACATATCGTTTTGTTCATAAGTGTTTTATGAAGATCCCTTGGGATCGTTGCTGGAGTTTGTGTTTTGAGTTGCTCTGTTGGCAGGCGCCTAGCGGTTATGTAGGGAGAGGCAGAACCAGTAAATTGATAAAACCTGGTACACTGAAGGTGATTCTGTCGTTTGTAACCTACAGAAGTGAGATATTGGAGAAAATTTCAGATGAGAGGTAAAAAAAAAAAATGTGTACACAAGAGAGTTGTAGGCTCATAGACCACAAGGCAGACCAAAAGGCGTTAGATATAATACAAATACTTGGGGTCACCAACTGGAAAGAGAAGACAATCACAGAGATGAATGGATTAGGGTCATATCTGCAACAATGAACCTCAAGGGCTCAGAATGCTGAAGAAGATATTGGAGAGAAACATCACTAGAATGATCACGGGTAAACTAGGCAGGGGCAGACCACAAGAAGTGATGCTGGCTGGTGATTGCATGGAGAAATACCAGTAGTATTCCTGGACCCCATATCAAGAGAAAGAAAAAAATCATATACATGGCTCCCCCCCTCTTTCCCCCCCCCCCCCCCCTTTGCACATTGTAAAATGCATCTAGGGTTTGTTGAAATTTGATGTCTTGTTCCAAAAGACACATATTGCAGCCTAGCTGTAAACCACAGCACAAAGGGCCAGCCACCTTATTATTGGTGAGCTGAGAAGATGAAGAACACAGGAAGAATCTTAGGGACCCTTGGGCATTGTTGATCTAAGTATGTAAAAGTCTAAATGTCTGAAGATCTAAAAGTGTGAAGGTCTAATAATGTGTGGTCTAATAATGTGTGAAGGTCCAAATGGGGTCTAAATATGTGGTCTGAATGTGTGAAGGTCTAAACATGTGAAAGTCCAAATGTGTGAAGGTCTAAATGTGTAGAGGTCTAATAATGTGTGAAGGTCTAATAATGTGTGAAGGTCTAAATGAGTGGTCTAATAATGTGTGAAGGTCTAAATGGGGTCTAAATATGTGAAGGTCTGAATGTGTGAAGGTCCAAATGTGTGAAGGTCTAAATGTGTAAAGGTCTAAATGTATGGAGGTCTAATTGTGTGGTGTATGTGTGAATACAAAAATCATGAGTGCATTAAATATTTATCTTGATATGTTTTTTACTCTGAAAAGTTAGCCTGGGCAGTGATCTATTGTCTACTCTCTCTCTTGCTGCCTACTCTTTCTCTGCCTGCCCTCTCTTTCTGTCTACTTTAACTGTGGAGAGTTTTGTTTAAATTTCTACAGTATACCAACCAAGGTTTCTCACTCTCATCCGAGAAGACTATATGTCCAATCCACTACCTTAAATCAGGTGGGAGTATACAATCATTCTCTTAGCTTTAAGCACACAGTCTAAAAAACTAACAAGTCTTCATTGGCTAGAGGTGGGTATTATGACATCTGATCCACTCCAGTCTATATCATTATAATTATTTTGTGTAAAGTATGTGGTCACTGAATGACCTGTCCATCACAGGTGCAAGTCCAGAGACCTCATGTCCAGGAGCTGCAGGTGACTCAGGTGTCCTGTGTCAGTCCGTCGTGGACACTAGTCAGTGTTGGTGCCAGACACCACTCAGGTATGTAGGATAGGTTGATTTTTGTGTGTGGGTTCCGGGGCCCCACTGTGGGAAGAACAAGCATAGACACACAGTCTCCCCAAAAATAGTCATAGGAGTTGACTAAATGGGGGCTTCTGTCAAAGTCAGAGTACATCTGCCTGAGAGGCAAGGAACCAAGAGTCTGCGTACAAATAAGTGGATGTGCATGCAACACTCAGATTTTTTAACAAGATTTAAATCAGGAGATGAACGAACACCCAGAACTTTCCACCAGAGTTTACAGCCGGCCAACACGAAGATTTTCTTCTGCTGCTGCTGCTCCTGTCTTGTTCATCTTTTCTCTTTCTCATCTTGGTGTCTGTGTTTGTTGTCTGTGAGTGTGTGTTGTCTGTGAGTTATGTTATGTTAGTTTCAGCTTCATAGCAAATGGGTCACTCTACAGTTGCTTCGCTCCCATGCCAACAAAAAACACAGAACGTTTATCAGTCCTTTGTGGAGAGATTGACAGACTGGTGTATAAGCATATGCATTAGCTTAAACGCCCATTAAAGCATTCGGTAGCCATCAGAAGTGCTAACACAAATAGTCCAAAATTAGAAATGCAGTTCATCATGGATGGTAGCAGAGGTAACCAACAAATGAGCAGTTGCACACAGGATCAATTTTAATCACATAAGAGCACCACCAATATTGTGACGACGGGCCACACGCTATTTTCTTAATCTAAAATTCACAACACACCACGTTGGTCACAGTTGAAAAACATTCTAAATGAAATCCGCAGCTCATGGGGTCGCACCATGCACTCAACTCAGTAGCTGGACGACGAAACTATATCCTTTCAGGCTACAAACAGAGCAAAAATGCAACGGCCACCGACTGACAGAAGCAAAAACTTTGCCACGACTCGAAACAGTGGCCTTGCCTAACGTCCATTTTGACCAGAAGGTGTCTGTGAGCGTGTGTTGTCTGTGAGTGTGTGTTGTCTGTGAGGGTGTGGTGTCTGTGAGTTTGTGTTGTTTGTGTGTGTTGTCTGTGAGTATGTGTTGTAGGTGTGCATCTTCCTGTGTGTAAGTTTGTTTATCTATATGTATGTGTTAATGTTTGTTTTACTGCATCACTTGTTGTTTCTGCCTCATGGGTGTTTGTGTTGTATATTTTCACATGTATAGTTAAAGGTATGCATTTGCCAACCATAAATTTGTGTTTTTAAACTCAAACTATGGATTGTAATGTTTGAACATATTTTGTATATATAAAATTCAGTTGCCATGTGCAAGAGAACTGTTAGAAAGTTCCAAATGTAAGATAAGATAAAATAAGTAATGAAACTTCAGAAATTATAAAAATTGTCACGTTTGACCAGGTGTCCGTCTTGGCAGTCGGGAGACTCTTCATTTGGTTCTGAAAGGGCTCAAACAAGGCCAGGAGGAAGGTATGTCTTTCTTTAACGAAACATTTTGTAGCTATTTATTTTGAAGGGGCGAGGATGTGGTTTTATAGACTTGTGATCAGAATAAAGAGTGGACAGATAAAGAGTTGCTGATGTTGTGAAAGAAACTGACTTGCAAAGAAAACTGATTTGCTTGAATCAGGAGACAACCTAGATTTCTTTGGTGATGTCATGAGAAGGAGAAAACTGGAGTACACCGTGATGGTGTGAGAGTTGGAGTGGAAAAGATGCAGAGAGAGAAGATGCTGGAGAGCTTGACATAACGGTATGCTCTGTGTATGGATTGATTGGAAGTGCACGATCCAGAAGGTTGTGGATAGAAGTGACTACCAACAGCACAGGGCTCGGACTGTAAGAAAAAGAGATGCAACAAACATACTGTAAGTACTAGGGCATAGAACATGCTGGCTTAAACAAATTGAAGAAAAAACTAATAATTGTTGACAGTATCATTGACATGCCACTGGACTATTTTGTTCTGGCAGTTGTAAAACATTACAACGGGTATAGAGCAACTGGAAGACCTCAGAAAAGATAAGTTATCAAAGAACAACAAAAAAAGTGGTTTGGACACCTAACAAGAATTCCCTGGTACTGTCTGCCACAGCGAGCCACACTGAAACGTTACAAAGGGTATAGAGCGAGTGGAAGACCTCAGAAAATATGGAGTGATGGCATTAGGAACAGCTTTACAGCAATGAACATCAGTCTTAATAGTGCTTTTGGCAGATCATCAACGAATGTTACAACCCCCCCCCCCCCCCCCCCCCCCCCCCCCCCCCCCCCCCCCCCGAAACTTCGCTGAGGTTCAAGGTGGAAGAAGAAGTTGTAAAACAGCAAACAGGCCAGGTTTTAAACATCTTCATCAATCAGCATGTCCTTAAAGAGCTTTTTTCTCTCTAAGACACACCTGAAAGTTGTTCTTTCTTGAGCCACTTTTCCAGCCCTATGTGCTTTGATAGTGTTTTAAAAATGCATCTTCAGTAAATTAATGTGATTAGTGAGGACTATCATCACAGCACTCCTGACAAAATTTGAACAAGGGAGACATAAACGTTGAGAGTGCACAGTTTGTTGCCTGGCATATTTTGAGGTATCCTGTCCGATGTATACTACAGTTTGGTAAAACAGTTGCTTTTGAGTGTAGTTGATTTTATTTTCCATTTTAAAGCATTTATTTATTTGCCTAATTTTATTTGTAACTGTGAGATGCAGTGAAATCTGCCAGGCAGTGTGGATTGTGCAGTCTGTGTCTTGTTTGTTCAGGTTTTCAAAGGGAAGGTATTCCTCACAAATGTGGCAATTTATACTTCTTTCAAAAATTATGGGATGTGTGGTCTCAAAGCATGGCATCCACCTCGAGTGCTGGAGGACACGGGTTCACAAGGCTGGGATATTTTCAAGTGGACTTCTAGTAATTTCCTCTGGTCTCTGGGTAGTAAGACTGGACGCCCGTGTGTATTTTTATGCACATTAAAAAAATCCCTTGGCAGTGGAAATTAAAAAAAAAAAACCAAAGCATTTCAGGATCCTCACTGGTGCTACGGAGTCTGTGCACTGTGCTGTGATTCTTCAGACTCCGGCTTGGGTCAGAAGTAGGACGGAGCACTTAGGGGTTACTACCATTGTGCTATGAAGTTGATCCGTCGTCTACGTCTAAACCTAATCAGACATATTGTACTCTTAGTAAAATGTTACCATCTGGCTGCTCCAGTCTGCTATCTGTCCCATATCATCAGTCTGGATAGTGATTCCTGCCTGCATCTTGCATGCATTATGACATCACTCCGTACCAGTGCCAGGCCATACATTGTAACCATATTGTCAGATAATCTGCACGCTTGTTGCCTCAAACACACACATTGCCTGGCACAAATATAAAGGTTAGACAAGTTATCTGTGTATCTTTTAATGAGGAGTTTGTCTCCTCTGATGAAGACGGCCTGAATAGATATTGACCTTAATGAAGAATGAAACTTTTCTTCAGATGTATCAGATCCTATACCTCCCATTTCACTGCATGCTGCTCAGTTGCTTTTTTATTTTTATTTTTCCAGAACCCAAGGACCTTGTGTTTAGTGAAGTTGCATTTGATAGAGACCAGGTAAACAGCTCATGCAGTCCTTGCTCAGATTTCTTTGTCCGCAGCTGGTTGCGACACAAGAGCCTCATTGAGCCATTGGGAAGCAGTGACGTGGGAGGCTCCCACTCTAAGATAAGGAAGATTGACTCCACACACCTTGACTCGGCCATTCTGCTTCGACTGACCCTAGTGTTCTTGTGGAAGGCTTACGTGGTCCAGGAGAGTGGACAGATGAAGATTGTTGTCGGCCAACACCACGTACACGTTGACCGCCTGAACACAGTTTCCATTTCCTATCCCATTCCTCCAGTGGTCACCAGCGCCCCACCTCTCAAATTCACTCAAGAGCCCGAACCCACGGAGGCCCCGGCGCCCGACCCCGCTGTGACCACCTCCTTGGTGTCTTACTCCTTCTCTCATTCCAACCAGAAACAGCACAACTTCGCCAAGGGCCTGTGCGTTGTGCCAGTTGGGCTGACTGTCCAGAACCATACGGATGCAGAAGTCCAAGTGATGGTGGACTCGACCAAATCGCCAGAGACTCTGAGCTCCGGAAGCTCCTGTCCCAGGCCTGTCAAGTGGATTGGCCTCAACCAGGCAACGCTGACTTTGGGCAAAGGTCAGAATGCCCACCTGACCCTCAAGGCCGGCATAACCCTGCCAGGAACATTCAATTTAAACACCATTTCTGTGTTTGTGACATTTAGTTCTGACCAATCACAGATGGTTTTACAGAAGCATACGACTCCCAGTATTATCACAGTAGTCAATGTTTTATGATATTTGCTCTAGAATGAAAGCAGTTGCCAGGCTGTAAACTGGCCATTACGTGTAAATATTTATCTGGGTGCATTTTTATCATCTGTGAGCCAAATATTTATTCTTTATTAAAACTGGCATATGCAGACATTCATGTTTCTTTGCATAATTAGTCTTGCTTTTATCAGAATGTCAATGTATGTTTTAACCTCCATTTGCTAGTAATCCTGGCATGATAGGCTTCACCATATTGTAGAAATGTTTTCCTGTGTTAGGTGTTCATTTGTGAATCATCATCATCATCATCATTTAGCAGGTACTTGCAAAATATTGCTGTCATTGTTTAGTTTTGTTCTCGGCGTTGAGCAGCTGTAAACTCTGGAAAGTTCTGGTTGTTCATCCACTTCTGTCTTGTTCTAGAACTTGAGTTTTGCCAGAGTATCCATTTTTTTTTTTTTTTTTTTACAGATTCAGCTTATTTCTGTGCTCACTGTTGGTTCCTTGTCTCTGTCAAAAGCATTCTGACTTGAAGAAATCACCCATAATTAGTCAGCTTTTACCGTTTTGTTCAGGGGTGGTGGGTGCTGTGGGTTTATTCTCATCCCACAACATTGGGACACTGGAACCCATACGGGGAGACCATTTGTTTAGTACGAGTTAAAGTTCATTTTTTTTTAACGCCAGTGGCACATCAGGCATATGCTAGACTTCTGTTTTTATAGATCACTTGGCACTCTACAGGTGATATGGTCAACATCATGTGGCCGCCTTTACTTCCCAGGACAGCACTTGCTACTCAGTTTAGGCTGAATTGACCTGAGAGACAAGGTCACTTTTGAGGAGGAAATTCTGACTTGAGGAACCCAAGACTGTTTGGGCTTATAGCGAGTGTCTAACCGCTACACCACGGCGGCTCCCCGTGGCTTGCTGGAAAGCTGCCACATCCCTCACCAACAGCCCCATCTGAAACTAGCAGAGCCAGGCAGTCTATCAGCTCTTTAATTGCTGCCTACACCCACAGATTCAGAACTGTCCTTGGAATGACCTAGAAACACATGATGGGTTGTTCAAAGTATCCTACAAGTTATTCAGTTACAGATCAAAATTTAAAACTAGATCTGTATAGCACGCATGCTGCTTTATTTGTTCTGGCAACATATTTGCAGACGACACATCTAGTGGTAAATAAGTACTATAAGAATTTGTTTCTATTTTTGCTGATGTATTTCTGTGAATGTTTCAACATTTCATTTTTGTGTGATACGGTTCGTAGTACTTTAAGTCATATCATGATGTTTCAATTTTGTAAATTTATTACTCGGAACATCACAACATTTCACTTTGTGTAACTTTGATGGATAAATGATTCACAACGCAGTATCACTTTACATGAAATACTCAAGGTCAAGGCTGTTCAACTAAGTTTGCACAAGGGCCAGATGTCCGAGCTCCTGTGTAGAAAGATTAACAAAATATACTTGGCAGTGATCCGCGGGCCACTTCCTAGGCCTTCACAGGCCAGATTTGACCTGCAGGCCACCAGTTCAGTGGCCCTGCTCTAGGTGAATATGCTTCATAATTCCAAGGTGCCGAGTTTGATCCCAGCTGCAGACAGTTTGGAAGCAGAGTGTCTTGCTTTAGTTTTGACACTGGTGTTGAGAGCCAACCGCTCAGAAGCAGTGGCAAACTACTGAGCCTAAAAAATTGCCTAGTAAAATCACAAAAAGAAGAAGAAAAAAACTTTTTAAAAAAGCTGGGGCTGGCTCTGTAACCTCCTGTAAAGGATGCAGAATCTTTACTGACAAACCCGTATTGAAGTTAGGCTAAAAGTCTGGAAACTTCCCTTTTTAAATCCTCTGGCAGATTAGTAAGCTGCATATACTGCAATGAAAGCCTTGTAGCAGAGACAAAATTATTTTATCTTTTGGAAATGAAATCTTTTCAGGTGACTACGGCAGCAGCCTTGAACTCTTTGTCCCAGGAGGTTTAGGATCAGAGGCCCAAAGGGCAGTAAAGATAGATGTAAAATCAGTGAATCTTTTGTTCATTGGATTTCTAGGTAGGAATGGTAAATATATGAATGGTTCCTGGAACTGAGAGTTAAGCCTTGACCCCTTTAAATCCATCCTGGCAACATAGCCTATGGTAACACCAGTAGGTCGCATGGTCATCGTTAATGCTGTAGGGGAGGATTGGTGAATTGTGGGAGCAGTGTGTTTACATCGCTGTTACGCATGCAAGGATTGGGAGTAAAGGTCAGTGCTGTCAGGCATGAGTTGTGCACCAGACGAACAAAGTATTGTAAACCAGCATAACCATGAAGTCTAATCAGGTCAACAAATGCCGCAGAAATACGGAATGTGTTGGCTGAAAGGTGCAAATGCTGCAGCCATGCTGCAAACGGACACAACACAGTTACATCTTCGGATGAATGCAGAAGTTAACCAGCAAAAGACTTGCACTCATTAACTATGGGACGCTGGTGTATATGGTGGAGGGAAAATCTGAGCACCTGTGGGATGTGCTCAGAGTGCCGTGAAGATAACCCAACTGATTTATTCTTCTCTACCTCCATTTGGGGGGGGGGGGGATGTCTGGGTTCTTTGTGTTCATTCTAATGTATTGTATAACATAACCCAGATACTGTAACTCAGGTCTTGTATATTTGTGTGTTGCTTTTGCTAATTCTTATTCTACTTCACATAGTAGTGTTTGCTGTCACGTCTTATTCTACTTCGCATAGTAGTGTTTGCTGTCACGTCTTATTCTACTTCACATAGTAGTGTTTGCTGTCACGTCTTATTCTACTTCACATAGTAGTGTTTGCTGTCACGTCTTATTCTACTTCACATAGTAGTGTTTGCTGTCACGTCTTATTCTATTTTACATAGTAGTGTTTGCTGTCACATCTTATTCTACTTCACATAGTGTTTGCTGTCACATCTTATTCTACTTCACATAGTGTTTGCTGTCACATCTTATTCTACTTCACATAGTAGTGTTTGCTGTCACGTCTTATTCTATTTCACATAGTGTTTGCTGTCACGTCTTATTCTACTTCACATAGTAGTGTTTGCTGTCACATCTTATTCTACTTCACAAAGTGTTTGCTGTCACATCTTATTCTACTTCACATAGTAGTGTTTGCTGTCACATCTTACTCTATTTCACATAGTAGTGTTTGCTGTCACATCTTATTCTACTTCACATAGTGTTTGCTGTCACATCTTATTCTACTTCACATAGTGTTTGCTGTCACATCTTATTCTACTTCACATAGTGTTTGCTGTCACATCTTATTCTACTTCACATAGTAGTGTTTGCTGTCACGTCTTATTTTATTTCACATAGTGTTTGCTGTCACGTCTTATTCTACTTCACATAGTAGTGTTTGCTGTCACATCTTATTCTACTTCACAAAGTAGTGTTTGCTGTCACGTCTTATTCTACTTCACATAGTAGTGTTTGCTGTCACATCTTATTCTACTTCACATAGTAGTGTTTGCTGTCACGTCTTATTCTATTTTACATAGTAGTGTTTGCTGTCACATCTTATTCTACTTCACATAGTGTTTGCTGTCACATCTTATTCTACTTCACATAGTAGTGTTTGCTGTCACGTCTTATTCTACTTCACATAGTAGTGTTTGCTGTCACGTCTTATTCTACTTCACATAGTAGTGTTTGCTGTCACATCTTATTCTACTTCAGATAGTAGTGTTTGCTGTCACATCTTATTCTACTTCACATAGTGTTTGCTGTCACATCTTATTCTACTTCACATAGTAGTGTTTGCTGTCACATCTTACTCTATTTCACATAGTAGTGTTTGCTGTCACATCTTATTCTACTTCACATAGTGTTTGCTGTCACATCTTATTCTACTTCACATAGTGTTTGCTGTCACATCTTATTCTACTTCACATAGTGTTTGCTGTCACATCTTATTCTACTTCACATAGTAGTGTTTGCTGTCACGTCTTATTCTATTTCACATAGTGTTTGCTGTCACGTCTTATTCTACTTCACATAGTAGTGTTTGCTGTCACATCTTATTCTACTTCACAAAGTAGTGTTTGCTGTCACGTCTTATTCTACTTCACATAGTAGTGTTTGCTGTCACATCTTATTCTACTTCACATAGTAGTGTTTGCTGTCACGTCTTTTTCTATTTTACATAGTAGTGTTTGCTGTCACATCTTATTCTACTTCACATAGTGTTTGCTGTCACATCTTATTCTACTTCACATAGTAGTGTTTGCTGTCACGTCTTATTCTACTTCACATAGTAGTGTTTGCTGTCACGTCTTATTCTACTTCACATAGTAGTGTTTGCTGTCACATCTTATTCTACTTCACATAGTGTTTGCTGTCACATCTTATTCTACTTCACATGGTAGTGTTTGCTGTCACATCTTACTCTATTTCACATAGTAGTGTTTGCTGTCACATCTTATTCTACTTCACATAGTGTTTGCTGTCACATCTTATTCTACTTCACATAGTGTTTGCTGTCACATCTTATTCTACTTCACATAGTGTTTGCTGTCACATCTTATTCTACTTCACATAGTAGTGTTTGCTGTCACGTCTTATTCTATTTCACATAGTGTTTGCTGTCACGTCTTATTCTACTTCACACAGTAGTGTTTGCTGTCACATCTTATTCTACTTCACAAAGTAGTGTTTGCTGTCACGTCTTATTCTACTTCACATAGTAGTGTTTGCTGTCACATCTTATTCTACTTCACATAGTAGTGTTTGCTGTCACGTCTTATTCTACTTCACATAGTGTTTGCTGTCACGTCTTATTCTACTTCACATAGTGTTTGCTGTCACGTCTTATTCTACTTCACATAGTGTTTGCTGTCACATCTTATTCTACTTCACATAGTAGTGTTTGCTGTCACGTCTTATTCTATTTCACATAGTAGTGTTTGCTGTCACGTCTTATTCTATTTCACACAGTAGTGTTTGCTGTCACATCTTATTCTACTTCACATAGTAGTGTTTGCTGTCAC